TTTGACCCATCCCCAAATCGTTTGATGTTTCAAGATCCATGTCTGTTGGTTGTTCTGCCCAAAGCGGTTTTTCACAAGTATTAAAAATGGGCTTGTCCGGAAATCTGCTATACCTCAAAGCTACAAGTTTCAAAGCTGTAGAATTCATTGGTGGGGTGCCCAATTTGTTTGGACAAGCCTTGAAAGCTTTGAATAGTGGTGAACTACACCCAAAAATGAGAGGGGGGCTTGTCGATCAAATCCATATTGTAGGTTAAAGAAGTCCCCGCATAAGATCTCAATGTTGTCTTTTCAAAGATTTGGTTTTAAAAAAAAAACGTGTTTGTTCATCCCATAAATATCATACGGGATTTCACCATACACCAACCTTCCAGGTTAAGATCCCCCCCACCGTGGCAGACACTGAGGCCTGGCGCGCTGGGGCAGCAAGCACAAGCCCGAGTTCCGAATCCATGCCCCTTGGATCCCTTGGCCAAGCAACTTCCTGGGAAACCGTGAGGATACCTGGACTGAGTTGACATGCATAACTTGTTGAATTTTATAGGGATCATAGGGATTATAGAGGATAGGACTATAGTGACTATAGTATATTTTGGTTAATGAGGTTCTAAAGTAAAACAGGTGTAACTGGGGGGCCTTGTAAAACATAGCCCAAGAGCGCCAAGAGGGGGGGAAATGTATGGAAAATCGTTGGGGTGTTGGAGCCCCAAGGGATGTTGGAGTTACACCCCAAGACGGTGTTGGGTCTAAATCGCCATGAAAAATCAACCCTGGATCAGCCTGTGGTGAATTCGAAGTACCGATAGCAAGAGTTTGTGACCTAAAATGCTACCCTCCGCAATTGAACAGCTTGACACTATACAACTAGATGTTGAATTGTCAGGGTACCAAAAGTCCCGTGATCAGAGAAAGCGGTTAGAAGTTCTTTTCGTGATGGGCAAACACTGAAAAAACATATTGCATTGACAGTTCAAGTTGCGGTTATTTATCCAAACCATCAGGACCTGGATTTGCATCTTAGCTGAATAATCACATAGATACATATATGTGTATATAATTACATATGTATACATATATAAATATATATGTATATATATATATATATGTGTATACATATGTATATATATATGTATACATGTATACATGGTGTGCGGGCGCTGACACCATGTTTTTGTCAGGTTTTTGTCGGTTTTTGGCATGGTATACCCCCCCCGCGGTCCAACCCCGCGACACGCCGAGGCCGTCTTTGGCAAGCATCTGGGGCACAAGCCACTCGGCAGACCGCATGTTTTGTTGGAAAAAAATGGAACATCACCTTTATATACAAATAGTTATAGTCTAGTTATAGTTATATAGACCTTTATAGCGATATAACATATAAAGGTCTATAACTATCACTATTATTATAAATGCAGGCACTATATATACTTTATAACTATAACTATAATAGTGTATATATAGTTTTTAAATAATAATGCCAGATTTAATGTATCATAGTGTATAGTGTATAATACCATATTAACAATTGTTATGATACTATTTACTATAGTAACAATAGTGTATGATACCAGATTTAATAATAACTATAATAGTTTATAAATAGTGTATATATATAATAGTGTATATAACTACGATAACTATATAACTTTGGAGATTGGATATGCCGGTAGTATGTGGTTTAACCAGTAAACATGCGTGTTCATCAACAACAATGGCGGTTGTTAACTGCCAAAAATGGAGCTTCAATTGCCGGTAGTATATGCCTACCAATATGGAAGCCGCCTTGATGAAGTTCCATGGATGCAGACTGATGACTCGCATCTGCCGAAGGGATCGAAGTTTCTTCCGATGTGATTCTTCTTTTGGAAGCCATTGGTGATACCCTCTGGTTATGACTAACATAGCCATGGAAAATCACCATTTTTAATAGGTAAACCATCTATAAATGGGCCATTTTCCATGGCTATGTTAAATAACAAGATGGTATTTTCAACGTTGTTTTCGAATCCGTAGCCTTGCTCCAAGTTGACGGGCACATGGTTGACATTTCCTGGTACCCCTAAATCATCGATTTTAATAGGACTTTCCATTGTAACCAACAAGAATGGTGATGAATGGAATTTAGATCAATCTTGGATGGGTAGAAACTAATCCTTTATCTACTAATTATCCAGCTAAGAATTTGTCATGTGTTGCAGGGTATCTAAGATTGGCCATGTATGCTAGTGTTAGTAGATGTTAATAATGTTTAAACATGTTTTAATCACATTTCGTTTCAGTATATGTTAGTGTTTAAACCCCCATATCCAAGCTAGCAACTTGAAAAAGGGTTTTAGCCATCACCACTATGAAGGTATCACGGCATAAAAATTGATGCTCGTAAGCTAGTTTCGAATACGCGGAATTAACATGTAATCAACCAACAAAATATAGGTAAACCATGGAAAATGGGAATAGTAACCACGAATAATCAACAAGGACATGGACATGGGCATCAAAAATGGCTCAACAGACCAGTCGCTGCAAAGGGGAATGGCTGAATGTTCGGCCAGTCCAACAAAGAAATAGATGCTGGTTGGTGGTTTGGACCATTTATTTTTCCATATATTGGGAATAATAATCCCAACTGACTAGTATTTTTCAGAGGGGTAGGTCAACCACCAACCAGGATGTGTTTTTCATTTTAATAGCAAGTTTTGCAGGGTACAAACGACAAGACATCGGGAGTGAACCCAAACGAGCACGGAGTGACCTTAAGGTTTTTTTAACACGATCCACAATGGTTCAGTTCCAGAGGTGCTTCAAGGGTTTTTTAGCTGGGTACCGGTACATTCCCATCTTGTTCAACCCTTCCAGCTTCGCGGGGAAGATGTGTAAAATCGTATGACCAGTATAGATCACATGCTGAGTAACGTTCAATTATTGTCCAGGTATTTGGGGTTTGAACGGGACAAATTTCTTTAAATGGGGGAATAACATGATGATATAATGCAGATATAGAATGCAGAAATGATACGAGATGATACGATGTGTATATATATATACATTAACATATGTTAACGGATACATTAAATAACGACCTCACGTCACGATGTCGTAATGATGTCGTTTCATGTGAATGGCAGGAATAGCTAAGAGGTTTCGTTGCTCCACGCCATGGCTGCAAAGACAAAACGGTGCTACAAAACCGAGGTTCACAGGTGTTGGAACTTCCCTGAAATGTGGCTATTAATGATGGTTAATGATGGTTAATGATGGTTAATAACCACTGGTTGGTGGTTTGGAACATGTTTTATTTTTCCATATAATGGGAAGAATCATCCCAACTGACTTTCATATTTTTCAGAGGGGTTGAAACCACCAACCAGAAAACCATGGAAAAAACAATGTCTTTCATGGTGAACTTCCATTTTTATAGGTTTTTGTATGTTTTGATCTCTTTTTCTGTACGTATATACCCCCAGTTATACCCATATGGGGATGGGTCAAAACCTATTATATTACCATATAAGTGGTGGTTTGTTCATATCCATAAAGCAGCTATGATTTAGGGTTCCTAGGGCACCAGGGTTTTAACTCATGGCCATATTTTCGCATATGTTTTGGCCATTTCAGGTACAAAAAATGGAGGTACTGTACCATATAAGCTCATATATTGTAGGGATATTCCCTTAGATAGCCCTTACATAGGCCTTATATATCGTAGGTGGCTCCAATCTAGGTTCCCGAACTAGGTCAATCTTGGATGGGTAGTTTAATGGTAATCCTTCAGTCTTTAGTATCAATAGGATTATCTAGTATAACCAGCTAAGAAATTGTCATGTTTTGCATGGTATCTAAGGTTGGCCAGGTATCATACCATCTGCAAAATAGGCAAACATCGAGATTACCCTCTGGTAAACGAACAGTTTGCTATTGAAAATAGCCCAGTCGAAATAGTGGATTTACCCAGCTATAAAATGTTTTTTTTTTTCGTAATTTAAACGTTTACCAGAGGGTAATATTATAGGTTGATTGTGGGTTAACAATGGTTATTCTGCCATTTAAAGTGAGTTTCCCCATCTAAAAATGTGTGATTTTCCATAGTTTTTTGTAAACGCTTACCAGAGGGTAACCAGCAAAATGGTGGTAGAAATGGAAGATGGATTCCGATGTTTTTTCACGGTTTGCGAACTGGGAAATCACCATGTTTAACTTCGGTAAATCATCATGTTTATCATCCCCATAGGATCCATGGTGCTGGTATATATGCTAACATTGGGGGTGTATTGATGGTAAATGTTACCATATATAGCATACATGGATCCTATGGGATCTTTTTCTATGGGCCATCTATACCAGTTCGCTACGTTCTTACGGCACCCGCAAGCCCGGCAGCCTCAAGCCATGTTGTGCGAGTCAGGAGTGGTCGCTTCAACGAGGTCTGCGGTTTCTATGATCCTCTGCGCGAGGCGGGGTTTCCATGGGATGGACATGTAAATAGCTATGTTTCAATAGCGCTAAGTTTAGCTGATTTATAAGTCTAATTTCACTATGGTGTGTGATACTGTATATATATATATGTATACTTGTAACTGTAGTATTCATGGGGGTTATAAACCAACAAATATCACTGGGGGGGGCACATTGTAGAACACATAACCATGGTTTATGGTACATAGAACTATAGTTTATGCGGTTATGAACCAACTATAGTCAATAAATATAGATCTGCATAAAGCATGTTGCGATCTCACGCAACGTGACATCGCAACAGGTTGTGATGGGAGTTGGATTGGGGGTCACGCGTCCCAAATGACCAGTTTGTTTTCGCTTTTGAACTCATCATGCTTGGGAGTCTCAGCCATAAAAATGGAGTAACATGGGGTTTTGCAATCAGACTGCGGTCTGGGTCAGAAATCATGGTTGCGAAAAACATCCCCCAATGAATCTTCTTCATTTCTGGAATGTCATGGATATGGAACCACAGAGTCACCAGTAAAAAGCCAACCATTGATCAGGCTTTCCAACTGTTTCTTCATATCAGTTGGCTAAATTTGGAGGTTTCCATAGTCATGGGGGTACCCCAATAGCTGGATGGCGAAAAAAAAAGGAAAATCCCAATCTAAAAGGATGATTGATTTAGGGGCCCAATTTTAGGGAACCAAATGTTTGATTGTGTCCTGATTTAATCCTCAGCCGATTTTGGTATTATTTTGTTTCTCTTCCCCCTCTTCAACACTCCCCCCAAAAAACCCTGGTTTTTCATAGGGTATTTACACGGGACCATTGGTCGGGGGTGTGTTTCATGTTGGACAAAAAATGGGATGGCGATTCACCTTCATCAAGTTGAGGCCACGCGATGTGATGTGATGTGAAGGTGACTATTAAGCCCCATGAGAACTCTAGCTATCTCCCCTTTTTTAACATCCATAAACCGTAGTGAATCAAGTTATAAGGTAACTTAGGATATATCATGATATATTCCTGATACTCCCCATAAGCCTGTTAGTTGGTCAAGTTAGACGTGTGTAGCTGCGTAGTGACATTTTTGACGGGGGCCTCACCTTGGAAGTGGATTGCAGCTGAGTCAACCGAGCACCGTCATTGTGGTGATGGAACTGCCACGAAAAACAAGCGAAATTACCTACAGGATGGGGCCCCCAAGATAGCTAAGTCTGTGGCTGAAAAAACGATGGTTTCTGGTAGATATAACGAACTAGTTCATGGATGTTTTCATGGGGCTTATAAACCAACGTTCACATCACTGGGGGGCACCATCCGCATGCACTCCACCACTGTGATCAGCAGCTGGTCACCATGAAAGCAACTCTACGTGCGAGAGCGCAGCTGAAAACTGAGAACCCGGGTACAAAACTGCATGAGACACATTCTACATCATTCTACATCATTAAATCCCTGGTTGGTGGTTTGGAACATGTTTTATTTTTCCATTCAGTTGGGAATTTCATCATCCCAACTGACGTTCACTCAATTTTTTCAGAGGGGTAGGTATACCACCAACCAGAATCATATCCCCAATTATCAACCATGGTTAATGATGGTTACTGATAGTTAATGATGGCTTTCATGTGGGAAAAACAATAAGTTTGTAATATTAAGCCACTAAATCGTTATATCCTCATTATCGTTGGGTTTTCCGAAAATACATAAAATGTGTTCACATCGATAAAATGTGTTCACCAGGAACCTGGGGACCTGCAGGGTGTTCGAACAGGGATTGGCCCAGCCCAAGCACCGCAGTGGCCGCAGAAAAATGTTTGACCATTTAACTGGAATTGGATGGAATTGGGACAAACTACAATCTTTTGGAAATATCTCAAATGAATTATATCCCAACTTTTGGAAGTTGTCACCATGGTCATACTCAAACAAACCAAGTATGGCTTTGTCAATAGGGGGATGCCAAAAAAGGGAAAATTTTGGGACAGTCCATTGGAACTGAATTTCCCATTGATCTGTGCTGGCAGTTTGACGATCCCTGGGCCTTCAAGATCAAAGCAGACCGATGTGTCTATTGGCTCAGGCGGGGCCCTTTGGATGCTGCGGATGGTTTCATCCTTGAAAATCTCCGTTGCACGTGTGATTGATTTCAATAGGAATATCTACTGATTAACCAGCTAAAAAGGTGTAGGGACATTCTGATCTTCCAATGGGAGCAAACACAACCAACATACCTGTTTTAAATCAGGAAAACCTATGAGGAGTTTGGAGGATTTCTGAGTATATCCCTATGGATCCAGCCGTACCTTCTGAAAGGAAGCGTTTGGAGTAAAATCTACTATAATTTGGAGGCTTAGCCGTACCTTCTCAGACAGTGGCCATGGATCCATAGGGTACATATGTATATATATATATATCTCTGTATATATATACATATACATATATATGTATATATATATCACTTCTATTAACAGCAAAACTGTTGAGGGTTTAAGCAGGCCATTGGATGACCAGGTGAACTCCCACAAGGTGAAGATCATAGCTGGGATTTATGGATGTTCATCACCCGACATATGCTATGGTCAATGGGAATTCCAGGATCCTAAAATGGAGGTACTGTACCATACAAGGCCATATTTTGTGGGGATATCCCCTTACATAGGCCTTATATAGGCCTTATATATGGTAGGTACCTCCAATTTAGGTTCCTGGAATGGCCATTGATATGGTGATGATTGGTTTTGACCCATCCCTAAGCTGATCGGCTGAGAGTCCTCCAGTGCGGCCATGGCGCCCAATGACGCAAAATTCGTAAATTTTGACGACCAATAGGGTAAAATGATCATCCAAATACTGTTTGGTTCCTCTAGTTTAGATATTCACATGCTGAAAGATGCCAAATATGAATGTGTCTGAAAATTCGGCATACCCCTCGCCCAAAATAACCACTTTTGTTGGGGAGATATGAGAATGAACCATCAAATTTGGTGCGCTCCCCCCATTTTTGGGTGGTGGAAATCAAGTTTTTTTCAGGGTTAGATCCCAACTTCTGTAGGTTCTTGCCATGTGTGTCATACTTTTTCTAGGACATTTTTAGAAAATCCAGGGGGATACCATGGGAAACCATGAAATATCACTGGGTACAATAGGAAATATCATGGAATATGGTGATTATATGGCATTTAAGCCAGTCTCTACGTCAATCTTGGATGGGTAGAAACAAATCCTTTAGTCTTGGATGATATCAATGGGGATTTTGTACGTTCACCAGCTAAGAATTGGTCATTTTTTGCAGGGTATCTAAGATTCGCCATGATAACCATTTTTAGTGGGCTCATAGTTGGGATGCAAAAGAAGAATAACTAACCTTAATACTAGTAGTGGGATAACCATATTAGTGGGATAACAATAACAAATAGTTGTTAATAGTGGGATCATCAATAACAACTTTCCCATGTTTTTGTTCCTATGATTTATCCGTAAACCATGGAAAAATCACAACTCTCCATGATTTTCCCATCATTTTCACAGGATTTTCCCATCGACCCGGGTCTCTTTTTGGCGGGTCTGGTCTCGCTGTGCAGGAAGGGGGCGCAGCCCACTCCTCAAGTGGCCAATCTGCTGGATATTGCAGGGATCATCCGCAGGACGATGTGGAACGGTGAACTGACGGTGGTTTTTTTTAATGGTGCAAGGTGGTGCCCCATAGTTAGCTAAGTTGGTTTATAAGTCCAATAACTAGGGTTTATGGGGGTTATATCTATAGTTAATGGGGATTATAAACCCGGTCGGTGGTTTCAAACATTTTTTTTTTCCATAATATATGGGATGTCATCCTTCCCATTGACTAATATTTTTTAAAGGGGTTCAAACCACCAACCAGTGGTGGTTTTTATATGTTTTTATGGTGTTATTGATATGGAGAAATTGTAGTTTAATGGTGATTTTCCATGGGATTTTGGAGGATATGATATTACCATAACTCGAAGAACTACGGTGGAGAACTGATTCCCACGGAAGAAGAGGAGCCAGACACAGAGACTTAGAGATCTTTGAGATCTTAGAGTCTCGCACACCTTTCTATGAGACCTTAAATTTAAGGTGCTTGCGGCAGAGGATGATGATGATGATGATGACGACGATGACGACGATGATAACGATGATAACAATGATGATCACAATGATGATGATGACGATGATGATGATGATGGCAATGATGATGATGATGATGATGATGATGATGATGATGATGATGATGATGATGATGATGATGATGATGATGATGATGATGATGATGATGGCAATGATGATGATGATGATGATGATGATGATGATGATGATGATGACGATGACGATGACGACGATGATGATAATGATGATGATGATGATGATGTAACATTCAACGCACAGGTTACCTAAGCTGTGAGTTACAAGATGAAAGCCAAGATCACGGACGTGTCACTATACATTTTGTCCCACAAAACACAGTGTGATTTGATCTTCGGGGGCGTCGTCGATGTAGGCGCGGGCAAACTGCGGGGTTTGCCTGTACGAAAGCTATAAGATGGTCTAAGTACAAGAAGTCACACGTAGTGAAATTGGGATCATGTTCACCAACTGAGCTGTCATAAATCATAAATCAGCTCTAAAATCCCATGAAATCGCCATATCTTTGTTGGTTAGATAAGTTAGATACCATTTTCCCATGATTTCGCTATCAGCTGGTTTACAAACATCATCCTTTGTAGTTTTAAGTACCATACACCATAGTTGGAGTTATAAGCCGACTTCGCTATCGTAAATGGGGGTCCCATTGTGTAAAAACTCTATTGTATTTTGTTATTCCCATAATATATATATATAATTATATTATATTAACTATATATATATATTATCATATTATATACTGTAACATATAAATATTATATATATAATTATATAGATTCCCATGAGATTCCCATGCTATTCCCATGATTTTTTCATTTCATCCGTCAGGACGGGCGTGGAGTCGAGGATGGGCGAATGGGAGTGGCGCGTCGATCCAATGTCCGGCCCGGAGGCGCTGCGCAGCGGCGGCGCGATGCAGCGGAACGCAAGCGGGGAACGGCTGGGGAAAGCTATGAAATATGGGGAAAATATTAATAAAATAATATTTATAATATTTATAGATGATAATAATATTGGGAAATATGGGAAAATATGTTCTATTATTGAACTGCAATGGAATAATCCACTGTTTATAATATGTATAGATGATATTCCCAATCAAATATTCATTTGCTCTCTGGTTATTTAACATCGCCATGGAAAATCACCATGTTTAATAGGTAAATCATCTATAAATGGTCCATTTTCCATGGCTATGTTACATAACCAGATGGTAATTGAACTGCCAATGTTTAATGACAACCCCCAACAAAAAGTAAGGCAAACATATAAAAGTAAGACAACGTGATGACCCGTAAGGAGAGGTACTATACATATAAAAGTATAGGTATATGAAGTGCCCATTTCTTTCAAGTAATATGGGGCAAAATATGGGGCAAAATGATGCATTTATGAATGATTTACCATGATTTACCTGAATTACCTTATAAATATGGTAAAATATCTGTGTCCACCTTTGTTAGATGCTTTAGTCACGTACTTTATTTTTTGCTACCAAAGGTAAATTGCACACTAATAAGTAATAACCAGTTAGAAAATTAGATTTTTTGGCAGGCATCTAAGACTCGCCATGTGTGCGTTGGTTTTAGTCGAAGCTTTCAAAACAAAAAACACCTTTGACCAGACGAAATTGACCTTTTTTTGGTCACGCACTGGATCCTTCAAAAAAGTCATCGCTGCATGAATCATACCACAGCAACCCCAACCAGGTAGCAGCAGGGGATCTCAAATCCAGGAACAGCAGCCGACCTGAAGTCGTGATGGAAAAAATGGTGGAGGGACAACCACTACCTGTGGCAAGATATCCGGGATTTCATGGTGCACTATGTGGAGATTTACAGGACGGTGGAGCCGCCGCAGAACAACATCAAGGACAAGCCGCAAAGCCAAGAATTTGGTGCCAGGGCAACGAGATTGATTCAGCTGAACCCAGTAGGTGGGGTGACATTGAAGAGCTCCCGGGCATCGCTGAAAAGGTAAACTTGAGAAGATGACAGCTGAAGCACCGCTAAAAGAATTGTGCTGTCATGTGTATTAAGGTTTTGCTGATGCCTACATGCTTGACAGGTCTCAATGAACACCTGGGCAATGGCCCGTGAAAAAAAGGAAACGCTCAGTTTTCTGATTTTAAACGATGGTTACCTACCGGGAATAGTCACCAATGACCACAAAATTCAATTATTTTCAGGCTGGTGAATTACTACAATTGAGCAATTGGAATAACTGAGGATAATGCATGTCCATATCATGCTACTATAACGCTCCCCTAGTTGTAATCCCCCAAACATCCCACATCTCCCAAATAATACGTATAAACATTTAAATCACACATCATACATAGCTGGTTAGTGGTTTGGAGCATTTGTTATTTTCCATATATTGGGAATAATAATCCCAACTGACTAATATTTTTCAGAGGGGTTGAAACCACCAACCAGAGTTTGTTACGTAATATTGATATCCTGGGTCCTGGATATCTATAGATTTATCTGGCATGTCATTGACCCCTTGGGCAATTTCTCACGGCTACGGAGACTCACCCTGCTAAAAACGGTACAGTAAATCATTGAAGTAAATGGGCCATGGTTTCCAGAGCAAACTGTTACCAGAGATTATTCCATCTCATTTACCTTCCGGTGTTATCATCCATGGCTAGCTAGAGACTGTCCATGTGTTCGATGATTTTGCCAGCTATAGACCTCCATGGCTAGTGAGGCATTTAGTGCGGGGATTTTCCAGCCATGGAGCTGATGACACTGCTGTGGGTTTTCGCAGCAAACCACAGATCATCCTAATTATCCCATGAAACTCGTGGTTATATCATATATCACTGTGAAACATCCCATCATAATCCAATTAATTAACACCCCCCAGAAAAAATAAAAACAAAAAACATGATACCCACTTGTTCCCAACCACACTGTATCCCCATTAACTATATAGAGATGTAGTATCTGGTCATTGACCGTAGCGAACGGGAAACCATTATAAAAATAATAGGTAAGTTATCATGTTTTTCATCTATTTCAATGGGCCTAACCCAAATGATGATCCTTTGAAATATTCCCAAGATATTCCCAGTATACTACCTGGGTGTCCCCATTAAGTCTCAAAATCATCAAAAATCAGCATTGTTTTTTTGGGGTGGAAGAATCATGATGTTTTATAGTCGATTTAAAATGGGGCCATGGTTCAACTAGCGACCTGGAAGCCATGACCCTTCACCAGGCGCCTGAGGGCTGGAAGTATGATGGACCTCATTCGGTGCGGCGCACCTGGCTGGGTGTGGTTTTTCTTGACGGTGATGGGCCGTTGCGAGATGGGAATATGGTACACCCCCCCCAAGTATCCAAGTGGAGTCTTAAAGTACTAATGAACGAATTGAAAATTGGCGACTAAGCAACAACTATGGAAGAACATGAAACAATTCATTAGTTATCATCAAACATTTGGCTGAACCTTGAACAAAATGGGGTAAACCTTTCAGTAAATTGACATGGATATGGAAAACCTATTTTAAAAGTTTCATGGATTTTCCGCGGATTTTCCACATTCCTAGGTCAATCTTGGATGGATAGTTTAATCCTTTAGTCTTTTATTCCACGCAGCAATTTCAGCAACAGCTGGTTGCACGCGTCGGCGTCTTCTAACCTGCTCATATCGCCTTTGGCTGTTCACTATCGCATGTTAACCATGCGATTTTGTGAGACATGTTGCCTTTCTTTGCTTTTTCTCGTGATTTGTTCATTGGTGGAAGTGGTCGTTTTTATGCGCAAAATACGTTGCTCTTTGAGGTAGACGATGGAATCGAGACGGTTATCACCCACGAGGTGACGGGAAAGGATTCCATCGTCGAGACATGTCGAGACGCTCCCATGGTAGTGCCGAATTGGGCACCAAAGCGCGCGGCCTTGACGTTCAGCGGTATGGTCGGCGTTACCGTCGTCGAGTCCGCAAAGAAGTTGCGAACGGTCAACTCACAGCAATGTGCATCAGTTGCATTGCCTGGGCAGGATCCTCAGGTGATCGGAAAGTGGATGGTGGACGTCTCAGCGACACCGCTTAGTTATGCTGGCTTGAATAAAACTCTTCATGAATCACCAGTGAAGTCTGTGCTCGACATCCTCTTCATTGCAAGGAGTTGAGGTGCGTCAACTGCGCCATGGGGTTGGTCTTGGAGGTCAGACATGCCCAAGGCAAACCCAGAAGGAGCAAACAGCATGCAGTTTTATGCCAGGATCCCTGATCCGTGGCTGTCTCAAGGTTTCAGGTGCCAAAGGTGTCTATGCCATCCTCAAGACGGAAGACAAACGCACCGATCTGTCCTGCAGTTGTGTGGTTGGACATGCCAATCCGTGAACTGAGAGTTTCCGCATATTTCACAATGGCTATATAACTCAATGCTTTTGCCTATCTGCTATCTCCATGATTTATGGAGCCAAAAAGCCATGAAGTCAGCATCGCAACTCCTAAGGTGACTTGGGGCAACAAGCCAAAGGTGCACAACCATAAAGGACCGGACCCCGATGGCGGAGCGCAGCGGCTTCAAATCCCCTTCTATCCACATGATCTTCCTATAAAGAATATCGTTGTTGTTTTTTTGGAATATATGTCCATCTATAGGGTTATAATTTATACATAGATCCCATGAACATATTACAGCAATCATATACTGGTTGCTGGTTTGGAACATTTTTTATTTTTTCTACGTATTGGGAATAATAATCCCAATTGACTTTCGTATTTTTCATAGGGGTAGGTCAACCACCAACCAGTATGGCATTCACCAGCACCAGCCTGGCTGGCAGCCTGGCTGGAGGACAGGTGAACGTTGACGTGGAGAAGATCCGCAAGATTCCGCTGATTGAAAGGTGCGCTGGTTCCAATAGGGATGGCAACCACCAAGAATGTCTGGGATTTAATGGTGATTTTCATGGTGATTTAATGGGATGTCATGGGATTTACCAGATGGTAAATGAAGGATGATGGGTAGGATATTACCCAATTATCTATTCTTGAAGAAAATTCCACCAACATTCTACCAATCATCATTTATTGATTGATCGATGATTTTTTCCAATACGGGGATAGTCACTTGAGGATAGTGAACAACTAGCACAATCACCAAGAAGTCCCCATGGTTTCCCCCAATTTCTGCCATTATTCATGGGGATTTCTGGTTCGGATTCACATTTGTGGATTTGAGGCTACTGTACCCTAGCTATGTTTTGGGACGCAACCACCAAGACTTAACATATGCTGGTTTCATAAAGTTGGAGATCCTCAAGTTCCCAGGGCTTTCAGTATTTTGTGATCATCCATATCTTGTATGACTGGAGGTACCGCCATGTTGGGAAACCTCCATATGGATAAAAGCTTAAACATCTTAAACCGGCCAAAAATTGTGATGTTTTTTCTGGAGAAAACAACTGGATGGATAGTTTTGGACTGAAACGAACTGAATATGTTGCCATTTTGACGGGAAGATTTACCAGCTTGGCTCGACAACAAGCAATGTTCTTTGTGCAGATATCTAAGGTCGGCCATAACAAAATTTGATGAAATTCGCCAATAAACCACCAGAAATAGAGATAACTGATAACTTTTGCAGAGACACATCAGAACATAGGAAGTGTTTTTATTGCGGTGATGAAAAGTCCGTTTTTGTGGAGGCTTCACCAGTTTTTATCGGTTTATCACGGTTAAAAACGTTGGGTTTGCCGCAAGTGAATTTTTGGTGGGTGAACTAAGCAGGATGATTGGCCGGGGTTGCGAATTCAAGGCCAGAAACTGTTTGGGGAGATTTAAAACACCCACCCAAATTTGGGGGATCAGCAAGGTCAGCAAAGGTACTGTAAATGCATCTCAATGAATTGAAATGAGGCATGACCAAGAACTCCGATGATGGGAAAACCAACTGAAGATTAGTGTGGCATTAATGAAATGATTTTTTGTCCATGCAACGTTCGTGCGCACAAAGTTCAGCTGCTCACCGGGCACTTGATCAGCGTCGTCTTGTACCAGCCGATGGGTACCGATGAGTAGACATCGTAGAGTCATGCATAGATATCTCAATGGCCATTTTAGGAACCTAAATTGGAGGTGCCTACCATATATAAGGCCTATGTAAGGCCTATGTAAGGGAATATCCCCACAAAATACTGTACTTATATGGTACAGTACCTCCATTTTAGGATCCTGAAATTCCCATTGAATATCCGACATTTTGTTTAAACTCCCCATGTGAAAACCTCAACGAACTCCTCCAAAAAGACACACGCATACACGGTGATCCAACGATGATCAATCTCTTCCATTCATTTTTTCAACACCCACAAAGGAAGTGTTGGTTTCGCAGGGGATGTGCTCATAATGCTCATGTCGGGATCCATTTCTGGTGTATTTCATAGTGGTTTTGATAAACCCTTGCCGGTTATTAGTGGCTAAGAAGCTCTTAATCAGCCCTGTGAAATTCACCTTTGGGGTGGGTTAGCCGAATCCTGATGAATATGAATATATATATATATATTTATATATATTATACATTTCATTACTGGGATACGACAGGGATGATATGATCATTTGCATGATCCATCCATATCCATCCGATACCATGCACATCTCTGTAAAAAAAATGGATGGGGGATTATATGGTATTATCATGTATCCCGAGTTAGATAAATGATGATTAATACCTGATAATACCACAAATGATAATACATAATATACATATGTATAACAATACCTGATATCCTGATGTTAATGATGAATGTTAATGATGATTACCATATGTATGACCATATTAATACCTTCACAGCCTTAACAATACCATATATTACCATTAGTTATACCATGAACTATATGGTATTGTCAATTATATGGTATAATTAATATGGTATTGTCAATTAAATTACCATATAATATTACCAAGATTGTCATACAATACCATATATTACCATATTATACCATGATTAATGAAAATTTCAGTTTTTGTCAGGCCATAGCTAGTCGCGCAGATGTCCAGGGATGGACTTCTTTTTTTTTCGTATGAAGTCTAGGGGGCTCCTGTGAATTTCATCATTTCACCACTGAACCACCATTCAACCACCATTCAACCACCATGAGCTCATCATTAAATCATCATGAAATCATCATGAAATCATCATTCAACCACCATGAAATCATCATTAAATCATCATGAAATCATCATGAAGTCATCATGCAACCACCATGAAATCATCATTAAATCATCATGAAATCATCATGAAATCATCATTTAATCACCATAAAATCATCATTAAATCATCATGAAACCACCATGAAATCATCATTAAATCATCATTCAACCACCATGAAATCATCATTAAATCATCATGAAATCATCATTAAATCATCATGAAATCATCATGAAATCATCATGAAATCATCATGAAATCATCATTCAACCACCATGAAATCATCATTAAATCATCATGAAATCATCATGAAATCATCATTCAATCACCATAAAATCATCATTAAATCATCATGAAACCACCATGAAATCATCATTAAATCATCATTCAACCACCATGAAATCATCATTAAATCATCATGAAATCATCATGAATCATCATCATGCATCATGAAATCATCATTCAATCACCATAAAATCATCATTAAATCATCATGAAACCACCATGAAATCATCATTCAACCACCATGAAATCATCATTAAATCATCATGAAATCATCATTCAACCACCATGAAATCATCATTAAATCATCATGAAATCATCATGAAATCATCATGAAATCATCATTCAACCACCATGAAATCATCATTAAATCATCATGAAATCATCATTCAACCACCATGAAATCATCATTAAATCATCATTCAACCACCATGAAATCATCATTAAATCATCATGAAATCATCATTCACCATTCACCATAAAATCATCATTAAATCATCATGAAATCATCATTCAACCACCATGAAATCATCATTAAATCATCATGAAATAATCATTAAATCATCATGAAATCATCATGAAATCATCATGAAATCATCATTCAACCACCATGAAATCATCATTAAATCATCATGAAATCATCATGAAATCATCATTCAACCACCATAAAATCATCATGAAATCATCATGAAATCATCATGAAATCATCATTCAACCACCATGAAATCATCATTAAATCATCATGAAAGCATCATGAAATCATCATTCAACCACCATGAAATCATCATTAAATCATCATGAAATCATCATGAAATCATCATTCAATCACCATAAAATCATCATTAAATCATCATGAAACCACCATGAAATCATCATTAAATCATCATTCAACCACCATGAAATCATCATTAAATCATCATGAAATCATCATTAAATCATCATGAAATCATCATTCAACCACCATGAAATCATCATTAAATCATCATTCAACCACCATGAAATCACCATGAAATCACCATTCAACCACCATAAAATCATCATTAACCCTTGATCTCCCCATACTCCCGGGCTTTTTCAATGCGCTTCGCCACGGACGCCAGGTACGGCTTCCGTGGCTACACCCGCATCCCAGTGGACGAAGTGGCGCTCTCCGATCCACTGTCCAAGTCGCCCCTGTTGGAGGCTGCGGATCAGTGGGGACGTTGACCAGTGATAGGGTGATATCTACTAGGCCAATATAACGGGTATAATGGGTATATAACATTACCCAACCAATAGTTAATGACTGAGTAGACATCGTAGTATCTATTCTACAATGTGAGGCCCCAGTTCGGAATCGCTAAGTTGGTGCGTTTATAAGTCCAATTTCACTAGGGTTGATTAGGTACTTATAACTATAGTTAATGGGGACTATAAACCAACTTATATAATCAATGGCCATTTTAGGAACCTAAATTGGAGGTACCTACCATATATAAGGCCTATTTTTAAGGCCTAAATTTCAGGGAATATCCCCACAAAATATGGCCTTATATGGTACAGTACCTCCATTTTAGGATCCTGGAATTCCCATTGATGATAGGGTGATATCTATTCTACCAGTGTAGTTATACTACCATGGCTGGGATCCTAGGTATAAAAAGACCATCTATAGATATCTATAAATATCTGATAGATGTCTATAAACGTGGGATTTTCATGAATTACAATGATCATCTGGTTGCTGGTTTCAAACATGTTTTTCCATAATATATGGGATAATCCTTCCCATTGACTAATATTTTTCAAGATGGTTACAACCACCAACCGGGATATTCTACCATAGTTCCTTTAGTTATAGTTAAACTGATATAGTTTATGATAAACAATCACCATAGTTTATGATATTCTAACATGATATGTTGACCTTCCCATAGTTCCTATAATTCTGGCCATGGTAGAATATCCACTACAATCAATGGGTAGTCATAGGTTTCCCTACTATGGGTAGTAATCCCAATAACCCCAGTATCACTCCCTACAGGATGTGCCCCCCCAGTGATGTGAATGTTGGGTTATGGGGCCCCATCTAAATGTAGTCATTTAAGTATCATACACTGTTGTTATTATAGTTATTTGCACCAACTTAGCTAACGAACTGGGGCCCCATCCTGTGAGATTACACTCTGGTAAACATACAAAAAGCTATTGAAAATGGCCATAGAAATAGTGAGTTTTCCCATCAAAAATGGTGCTTTTCCATAGTTATGTTAGTTTACCAGAGGGTATATTGGGATTCATATGGCTATGGATTCAAGACAAAAATAAAAATTTCGCATTTTTAGGGAGATGAACATCCAGAAATCCCAGCTATTTTTGATGTTCACCAGTATTTGGGGATGTATCTTTGATTTTTATTGCTGGAATTTGCTTGTTGATATTGAACTATCGGATTAATTATGGGGGTATTGGATAATAATTTACGATCGATAATTATAGCCAATAACAACAGGGGTTAGTAACTGTCCCATTTTGAGTATATTGGACATCACCTGAAAAAGTAGCCATGAAATAGACCATATACCATTCATGGTTGGGTGATGTGACCCATGGGGACATCAGTCATGACCCATGATAATTTATATGAAATGATATTGGGATTTATGTTTTATGGGTTTTACCATGGGTCCGTGGGACTGGGGAATTTACCCTCTGGTAATGACTAACATAGCGAACTGGAAAATCACCATTTTTAATAGGTAAACCATCTATAAATAGGCCATTTTCCATAGCTATGTTTGTTTACCAGAGCAACCAAAATGGTGATTCGTTTTTTTAAGTTCAATTGATTCTAATGGGAATTACATATGAATTTCGGGGATGGGGGATCTAACTCAGAAAATAATGGTGATAGATACTATCGGTATTGTATAACGATACTGGCGACCGATATTACTACAGGTATCGGTATGTCTCCAATTAGTATGACCTAGCTATTACATTGGATAGGATTGGATTCTAATATTGCTTTATGAATAGTTTAATAGTAAAATATTGGATAAAATTGCCATTTCAGGGACCTGAATTGCAGGAACTTACCTGTATGAGGTCTATGTAAGGGCTATGTGAGGGTTACCTGAAATGACAATGAATGTCATCCAAAAATGGGGATGTGAGAAACAAAATTGATTTGATATGATCAGTCAGTATGGGACTTACTTGCTGTTTCACTCCACGATTCGATTCAGTGATTTTTACGCAGTTTTTGGAGTGCCTAGTGACCCTAGTGGCACTGCAAACGGCACCTCATTAGATTTTGTGATCCTAAACCAACCATTTTTGACGGGAAGAAAAAAAAACTTGACCCAGCCCCCAGCCCCAAATTTTGAGGATTTTTCGGAGTTGGGCTAGCCTAAACGCATGTGTTTCCAGGTTTCCCCATGACTCATGACAAAGAAGGATGGATTTTGGATGATGTGGGTTTCTTCCATTTAGAAAACCCCAAAATAGGACTTGGGTAGGAAGCAAGAGGCATGTTCATATTCCACAGACCTGAAATGGGGATGGGCGAAAACCTATGAAATACCATATGTTTGGAGGATTAAAATCCTCTCAATTTCAATGTGTGAAAAATATCCAGGTTGCACCACGGTATCGATCCATATTTCATGGACCTAAAGAAAAACTTATGTCTATAGGCCGGTATATAGCATATAGGTTCCTTTTCTATTTTTCAGCATATATATGTATATGTATGTATATATATATATACATATATATATATATATGGGGATGGGTCAAACAAAGCCTGTTCTAACCATATTTGGTAACTATGTTAGGGTACCATCCAGGTGCCAAGGTTTTGACACATAGCCATGTATATATTTATATTATATTTATATCCTAAAATACTGGGGTACTCGTAAATCATCCATTTCAATGTCGAAATGTCTATTATAAACACTCCAAATCTTTGGGTACCCCCATTCATGGAACCCCCGCATATATTTATATATACATATATATATATATTACAGAATAGCCATAATATATATATATATTATATATATATATACATATATCAATAGCCATATATATATATACATAATTATAGATATGATATTCATTACACACATATTGATGGTTTCTGTCTCATCTACGACCGTGACCGTGACTCACCGTGACAGTCCTTCCCAAACACCGAGCTGCCGGTGTTCGGGAGCCCGAGCCAAGTCACCGGAGAAGTGTTTTTTTGGATGTGAATGGTGACGTCTAATGATTGGTATACCCGGCCTGGTAAACATACCAAAAAGCCATGGAAAATGGTGATTGAATGGTGATTGAATGGTGATTGAATGGGATGTAATGGGATTTAGCCTCTGGTAAACATACAAAAAGCGATGCAAAATGGCCATAGAAATATGATTTACCCATTGAAAATGGTGATTTTCCATAGTTACGTTACTTTACCAGAGGGTAGGTAGTGATGTTTAAAATCGATTAAAATCAAATTTTACAGAGTCGAAAATAACTTTGAGTTTAAACTTTGGTTACTATTAATGGATGATTAAAAGATGGTTAGTTAGTCATTGTTTAATGATGTTTTAAGGGTTAATGATGGGTTAATTACGTTTAATTGTGGTTAATGATGCTTGATGGTGAATATAAGCAATTAGAAATACCCTCAACCAACTAGTATATTGAGACGGGTTAGCGGTATTTTTAATGACTCAAGTGAAGTCGACTCAACTTGAGAGCTATGGAAAATGGTCCGTTTAGATCTAGGTCGATCTTGGATGGGTAGAAACTAATCTTTCAGTCTTTTGGTAGGATTATCCACCAACTAAATTGCAGGGTTTCTCAGATTTTTTTTGCAGGGTATCTAAGATTGGCCATGAGATGATTTGCCCATTAAAAATGGTGGTAAATCCATCTGTTTTACCAGAGGGCACCACTGTTAATGTTGATTTTGAAAGGAAGTGATACTACCTGGGTTATTGATGGTTGTTGGAGATTTTTTTGACACCCGCAACAAGGATAACTATTCACCAACAAGTATGGATGATGTCTTGTCCGCAAAGACACCGGAGTTCGACCAAGCGCAGAAAAACTGGAGGAATATTCAGCAACAAGACAGAGGATTTGCCAGCGATAGTTCCGAATTTGCTGAATCACCAAAGGTTAGTTCCAAACTCTTTTTTTAGCAAATGAAAAACTGGAAGATAGAGTTTGACTGATTTGGATAGGGATTGACTGAATGATCAATTTTTTGGGCGTACCAAAAATCAATTGGCAACGTGGTGCAGCACCAAAGGTTCCTCCATGTTTCCTCTATCAAGATCACCTTTGTCGGAGGGGCAACCACTTTTACCCTCTGGTAAACTAACATAGCTATTGAAGCCATGGCCCTATAGAAATCGTTGATTTATCCATTTAAAATGGTGATTTTCAGGTTCGTTATGTAACCGTTTACCGAGGGTGAAGGCTTCATATGTTCATCAGCTTTAACTTAAGTCTCTCGGGTCGCCATTTCAAGATGAGCCAAGATTAGTCGCAAATTCACCCAGAGCCGCAGAGCTGTTGTGAAGGTGGGAAAACCCCAGATTAAATTTACCATTTGGGGATGGTAAAAATAGCACCCATTTATGGCTGGTGATTTTGGGGTTTGGATTTTAGTGTTTAGATGTTGGTGGTTTGGAACATTTGGATTATTGTTCCATTCAGTTGGGAACAATAATCCCATTTGACTTATATTTTTCAGAGGGGTACGTCAACCACCAACCAGTTTAGATATGAAGATTATTCCTATATCATCCCCAAAAATAATGCCATATATCATGCCATATATCATGCCCATATAATCCCTATGTACCTTTTTTAGAGGCCCAGGTCAACCACCCAGTTTGAGATGTATAGAATTGATCTTCCCCTGCCGACTAGCCCCTGGAGATGGTGCGGCACGTACCGTACCGTCAGACCTTCCAAGGAGCCACATTTTTTCGTCCATCTTAGGTGTAGAGTCCCAGAACAATCATGATTTACTGGTTGGTTATCCCACTATAATGGCTATAAATGATGGTTAATGATTGTTAATAACCACTGGTTGGTGGTTTCAAACATGAATGGATTATGTCCATAAAAAATAAATGGGATGTCATCCGAAACCCATTGACGAACTCCATCATTTTTCAGAGGGGTAGGTCAACCACCAACCAATCATGTTTCTCCCCCCATTCCCCCACCGTTTTTTTTGCATATTTGGGTCTGAAAATAGGCTATACTAAACTTAGTAAACCCAACAAACATATAGAAAAGGAAAGCACTATGAAACCAGTGGCAAATGTTTTTTCATGTTTTAGCTGTTTGGGGGTTATTAATGGTTATTATACTATACACCGACAAAATGGGACAAAACATGACAAAACCATCTCACCCAAAGAATTCTTTGCAACTCACATCACTAAGGTACGAGTGAGTGGCTGCAGAGATTCAACGCATCACAGTGGCTCCATTTTGCGGACCAAATATCGCTCAAAGCTACTCAGACTCTTCTGGGCCCATTTTTTTTACACCCAAACATTCGATGGTTTTTTCGGACTCAAGACGATGAAAAATTCCTTCAGTTCCTGGTTGGTGGTGGTTTGGAACATGACTTTCCATTCAGTTGATCCCAACTGACGAGTTAATCATATCTTTTTCAGAGGGGGCCCAGGGTTAAAACCACCAAGCAGATGATTATTCACCATCATTAACCATATAATAAGCATTAACATTAACCATTAATATTAACAGTATATAAAACCAACCAATGGTAGGTAGGGTTAAAACCACCAAGTTCTAGTTGGTTTGGTACAGGGATGGATCTTTTTTTCAGCACGAAACACGGTCCCCTGCTGCGCTCGAAAAAGTGCTTTGGGCTTTAAGGGTTGCCCCATTCTGGCATGGGGATGGGTCAAAACCCTGGTACCTAGTGAACCCCAAAATAGCTGGCAAATGGATGTTCATCCCACTAAAAATGTATCTATAGGTATTTACCCATACCCACATATTCTGACCGCCCCATCATCCAGTTCTTTGACCCAGCTGGACACCCGTTTAACGACGCCTTTTCGACGCCATCTGAGTTTCGACACTTGGGATCTGAGCATTTTCTGGCCAATTGCGAGCCATGATGTTTGAGCCATTGATCAACGAAGTAGGAAGAGCCATTTGGGAAAGTATCCATCTGATGATACTATATATAATAATTAATTCTGTTTGTTATTTATTAATAATTATTATAAATACACGGAATATACCCAGTCGTATTGATGCTGTTTGAAGAATAATTTTCCTGGATATGGGTGTGAGTCAAGACATGGTTTCGACTCATGAGGAAAAAACCGAAAACAACCAGTGAACGCACCGTTCGGCATCAAATTGGCTCAGTGGCCCTGTAAATTTCAACAAAAAGATTGAAATGTGGTGCGCAGTTTCTAGGGATCCCTTGTTTTCTTTTAAAAATGTGGAGCCACATTTTGGGGCATGAGTCATGAGTCCGAAAAGGCAGAAATATGTGAGTCAAATCTGGGATTTGGGGTCAGTTAACCCACTCTTTGTAAGTGCATCAATCCCAACTCCAGTTTGAATACAAACCAAGATGTTTCATTTACAAAACTGAGATGGATAATAACACCTTGCTACGTTTTTCCCCACAGTTGAATGCACGGGATATTTATGTGGACCACATACCACTGTCGATAAGTTGCTTTAAACAACCCATCTGTGCTTCAAGCAATAATAATGAATGATTATAATTTCATATCATTTCTATGGTAAAACTGTTTTAAGTTGCTTTACTAACCCATCTATTGTTTCACTAACTACCACCATAAACCCGTCGTAAATCTCCTCTCGTTTCCCGGATCCGAATGTGGGACTGTCGATGCCATGTGGCAGGTGATGTGGGACGAACCCAGCAAATGCTATTTCTTTCACAATCAGGTGCGGGAGCCCGGGAGCTGGAAAAGAGCCCGAGGATCATCCCATGATCATCGTGGTTTCTCATGTTTTTCTAAGCTGAAATTTAGCAAGTCCCCTAAGTGGGGTTATTGCATTTGCTGGTTGTGATAGATGTGGAGCTGCTGAAACCTGTGGCCCTGTGGTCAAGATGATGGTTACGCTCTGGTATTCAAGCATAGCTATGGCATAGATGACCCAATTATAGATTCATATAGATTATTTACCTATTAGATCATAGCTATTGAAAACAACCCATCTATAGATGATTTACCCTAAAATAGCGATGTTCCACCGCAAACTATTCGCTGACTGGAGGAGAATGATATTGTGAATGATATGGTTGATGATATATGGAGGTTTCCAAGGGCATACTCCCAATCATCCAGTCGTCATAAAACCATTCTGGTATTGAAACCCATGGTTTTGCGGATCCCTCATTTTAAGAAACCCCTACATGGTCAAGTGCCAATGGGCTATAATCATTACTCATCTTTAGTAGTCATTGGCAGTTCCTGACCCCCCGGCAACTATAGTGATTGCTAATGTTTGTTCACTTATAGTTGCCGGGGGGTCAGGAACTGCCAATGACTACTAAAGATAAGCAATAATTGATTGGTGGCTGTTGATGATTGTCAATATGTTGCAGCTATGTTTCAGTTGTTTTTGCTACAAATATGTTTGCCACTGCAATGCATACAGGCCCACTGTATAAATTGAGCCCTTAAAACATCCTATGGACTACTGTAATCACCAGGGATTTGTCAATCATTGTCTATTTAGCACGGTCCTGTTCAAAATCATTACATATCAAAAAACCCTCTGGTATTCAAACATAGCTGGCTGGAAAGTTTCCTAATCTGGTTGGTGGTTTGGAACATTTTTTATTTTCCATATATTGGGAATAATCATCCCAACTGACTAACTTTTCAGAGGGGTTGAAACCACCAACCAGTAATACATGGAAGTTTTTGGGTTATGGGAAATGTATCTTTAAATGGTGATTCGATTGCCACGTCTTCCGGGAGGTACCTGCATCAACATTGCCACATGGTTCTTCGATTTTGAACGAACGGTTGCTCCTAGTTCTTTGATATGGAGGTTTCCTAAAATAGGGGTGTACCCCTAAATCATCCATTTTCACAGGATGCTCCATTACAAACCATCCATATTTTGGAGTACCCCATTTAAGGAAACCCCCCAAAATAGGGCCAAAACAGTTTTGGCTTTTTATCCAAGTTGAGCGGCTCTTTCCAAAAACCAAAAAAAACTACAATCTACAGGAATCCCTTCGGAAACCGAAACCCAGCCTATCCTATCGGAAAAAAACCTCGCAAGCAAATCCTCGAGAGGATGGTGCGAGAGATCCGACTGGGTTCCCGTACTTTGGAGATCCCATGACCTGCATGGCATGACCTGCACTCGAGATCGGCTCAGGCTGAGACCAGTCGGGGCAACACGTCACAGCTCGTTTGGTGATAGTGATCTGCTCCAAAAACTTCGTTGGTGCACCATTTCGGAATGAACCTCAATGGTGCCGGCATAATTTAAGAATGCCTTGAATCTTCTGCTAGAAGTAGGGCCGGTAACAATGAGACGTATTAATCATGGTAACCATTGACAATGCTCAGTTTACCAGCTGATTTGAAGTTTGCGATGAATATCTCTCAGATTGGCCATTCCATGGTTCTTTTCTGCACCATCTTTCCTGTGGTTGCGTAGCAAATGGCAGGAGACTGAAAGCTCCCAATGGGAAATGCCGCGTGGGGAAGCCTGGCCGATCAAAGATGAAGGTGTCAGTCAAATTGGATTCGTAACAACCTGAAGATGGCTGGTTAGAGTTATAGATATGAAGATTATTCCTATATCATCCCTATATAATCCCATATATATATATATATATAATGCTCATATAATCCCTATGTACTATATAATCACTGATTGGTGGTTTGGAACATTTGGAACATGACTTTTATTTTTCCATATATTGGGAATTTCATCGTCCCAACTGACGAAGTCATATTTTTTAGAGGGGTAGGTATACCACCAACCAGTATAGATATGAAGATTATCATAATCCACTATTGAAGGGTTCCACTATTGGTTATTATCAACGATGGTTCTTAATATGGTTTATAACCCCAATGACATCCCCAATCTTGGATGGGTAGTTGCTGACGCCGTGCCGGGTGGCCCGTGCGTTTTAGCTCATTTTTGCGTTTCATAGGTCGTCCTTGATACTACGTTGAGTTGCCAACACATGTTCCACAAACTAGGAAGACGTTGATGATGCAACGTGATGCTACGTTGACAGCACGGTGGGGTGTGGTGGGTTGGGATATTAACGTCCTGACGACCACGTCCTTGATACTACGTTGTCAACACATGTTCCACTAACTAGGAAGACGTTGATGATGCAACGTGATGCTACGTTTGACAGCACGGTGGGGTGTGGTGGGGTGGGATATTAACGTCCTGACGACCACGTCCTTGATACTACGGTGTCAACACATGTTGATAACATGTGGAAGTATCTTCATAGTACGTTGATCACATGTTGAAGTATCTTCATAGTACGTTGCTAAAATGGCTCCCAAAGCAGTTGAATGTCAAGAAAAGCTCCAGAGGACATAGCGTAGTCAATCCCCACCTGAAGGAAAAGACGTTTCAGTGGCTCTGGCGTCGCCATAAGAATGTGAACGACAAGTTCACACCGGCACAAATGTGCAAGGAGATGGGAAAGCTTTGCAAGCGGCTTGCTTGAATATGGAAAACGACGCTGACGCTGCCGCCCACAGGCCACCCGGCACGGCGTGACCTGGGTAGTTTAATCCGTTAGTTTTCTACTATGATGATAGTGTACTCACTTCCTTTTTTTCCTGGTCAATAGTTTTTATCCCTTTTTTTACGGTAATAGCAATGATATTGGCCCATATCATGTTAAATGGAAGATCAATTTCCATCATGGGATAAGGATCAATGATAATGGTAACATGTCAAGTGTATAGGTTTTTCTCGCAACTTGTTTTCATTTGTTTGGGTTTGCTGCGCGTAGGACCACGCGCATCCAAGCATGTCCGAGGCCAAGGGCGCGTTTTGAACAGCAAGATCAAAAACCACTACCGCCTGCTGTTGCGTCCTTTACGGCTTGAAGGGCTAGCAGCCGGGGCTGATGTGGCCGCTAGCATTTCACGGGCTGGCTTGAGTATGCAATCTGGAACTTTGCCAGTTGAAAGGCACTGGCGTTTTCTGACATCGGTATTTCCAAAGGCTCAGAAGCAATTGACAGAACCATCTTTCTCCCTTTTGAGCAGCATCGCTTACATAAGGTACAACGTCATGCATTTTCAGAAGCCTTTCCCAGTCAAAGGTGCTGACAAGGACTCCTTGCTTCAGCAACGGTTCCAAGATTTCGGCGACCTCCTCAGCCGCACTTGCAGAGGAGAAGAGTCGCCTTTGAAAGCAGAGCTGCAGGCAGAGTACAAGCAATTCTTGCTAAGCATGCCTCCAGACCCTCCTGGTGTTCCTGCTGCTGCTCCAGGGCCTCCACCTTCGACACACACCGAGCCGAAATAATATCATGTCATACCATTTATTCTCCATGTTGCTCAGAAACTGTGATGGCTATCTGATGAACATGGGATAATTCAACATGATGGTTCAATGGGAATTTCAGGATCCTAAAATGGAGGTACTGTACCATATAAGGCCATATTTTGTTGGGATATTCCCGAAATTTAGGCCTTACATAGGCCTTACTTATATATTATATATGGTAGGTGCCTCCAATTTAGGTTCCTGAAATGGCCATTGAATGGTTGTGTTTCGGAACTACCCATGCCCCTCGGATCTCCAGACATTCGAGGTACAGCTGGAGCATGGCAGGTGCACTGGTCTGAGGTGCGGCGTCCTCAGGGATGTCAGCTGTTCTTTTGTTAATGGGATAGAAATTGGATTTAGCCTGTGGTAGATTAATATCATAGAGTTATTATAGAGTATTATTATAGATGATTGTTTGTAATTCGAGATGATTAAGTATTGTATACTGTATATATATAATTCTATATATGTGGGTAAATTATAACGACCTCACCACGACCTCACTGGGAATCATGGTTTATTTTAGGGGAATCATCCCCAAATATGGCCCAACAGTTCAAGTTAGTGAAATGATTTACCCAGAGAGGAATGATTCGGGATATTATTCATGACACATGATGAATAGAATATGGGTATAATCCATGATACATGTTATCTTTGCTAAATTCAGAAAGTGCCGATGACCGGATCGATGGCGCGGGAGTGTGGCGAGCTTGAGGAGCTCCTTCTATACAGGATGGGGCCTCCCAAGGAGGCTCCTACGTGCCAGAATTTGAGAGCAGTGGTTGTGAAATGTTGCTGTTTTTGGGCTGAGGTTCCAAGAAAAAAATTGCATGGCAGTGCAATATTGCAGGGTTTCAATCACTGGGTCAGCATTTCTGATGGCCATCCTTGGCCCTGTGCCATGCTGGGATGGTTCCTGAAGTTAGTAAATGGTTAGTAAGTGGGTAACCCCTCATGACACCATTACAAGCGGGTTATCACCCATTTACTGGATGTTCTTGTACCGCATTCTATTCTGCGGATTTAATCCATGAATATCCACATACATGACGGTTGCTCCATCGCAGGTAAATTGTAGCCAAAAGTGAATGTTTGCTGGAAATTGACCTCCTGATCTAGCCATGTTTCCCCTTTGATCTGTGGTGTTGGGAGCAACCCCTGACCAACTTGGGATCAAATGATGCTTGGAATCAACTATACATCATGGAAAGAATTGAATAATCCCAACATTTTGGTTTGGAAGTGAAGTGCTAGTGATCTATGTTGGCGGGACCCATACCAACTTGTTTATTTTTGCCAGATAGACTACAATGTTCCCATCGACATGGCAAACCAAGTTGATTTGTTTGCATCATTGTTGGATCTACCTTAGTCAAGTCCAGCCAGTATTTGTTCTTTCTTCCTTACCTGTTTCAATGAGTGGTTAAACCCTGCTGTTTTTCCTCAATTTCGTGATGGCACACGGTCTCCGATTTGGTCGAATCCTCTCGATTGTTTGGTGGCTAGAATTCTTCATGAATTGCTGCTTAAGATTAACCATTGATTTGCGGGTAGGCATGTCATTCTTGTTGGCAAAAACCAGTGCTTAAGACAAACATTCCCATGTGGGGTGTTTCTCAAAAAAATCCCATAAACATTGGTTTCACAATCGGAAATGATCAGTTTTGAATAATTTTAGGGTACCCGGGTACCCCATTTGAGACACCTCCATGTGATATGGCGTATGAGCATCCCAGTTTTAAGTGGTTCCCAACCCATACACCACTTCTACAACCCACTTACTATAATTGATAATTGGATATGTTCCGTGTAATTATAAATTTTAATACCGGTCTATTATCAATGGTCCATTTTAATACCGAATAATACCGTATAATTGTCACTTATCATGGTAGACAACCGATTTTGATTGACAATCAGATGATTGATAAGCAGTAGACTGATAAGCAGTGGATGGTATCTTAAGATAGAACTATATCAATGATTGATAATTATCATTCTTGATTAGCTGCATACAATTCCCATGAATTTGCCGAGTAAGTAGATCCCATTGCCGTGCTAGGAATACGACGCTTGGTTCTTCGTTCACGGGTGCGGCAGCCGAATGTCATGGAAAAAGTAGTGGGGAATGGGTTACCCTCAGGTTATTTGACGTAGCTATGGATGGAAGAAATCTTGCATCACCTTGGATGGTTGAAACCTTTTAAATCATGGGATGTTTACCACTTATCAACTGGTGATTCGGATTTCGCTGGCCCATCCACCTTATCTATGGAAAATCATCTGTAAACGAGTACATATGGTCCATTTGCCAGAGCTGTGCTAAATAACCAGAGATTAATAGTTTTTGTTGGATCCACCTGATTTACGCCATGAAAAAAAGAGGCGCATGTAGAAAAAACATTTAGGCAACCCACAGAGGAATTGGCCAGGCAAGAATTGTGCTTTCCTCCCTCAAGATGTTGCTTATGCAGCAAGAACAATGAGGATATACTTTATCGATTGCATTTTGCCGCTTTAGTGTGGAAGACGTCTTCATTCTGATCTCGAGACCAGAATCAGTCGTAAGTTTTGGACAGCCCCTCGCCCCATGCGAAAAACCTTGAGCAGTCGTTCAGAACTGAGACCGCATGTTTCACAGGATTTCTGGCCATTCACAATGGGAGGCACCAAAATGTGTGGAAGCCCAGCGAATTCGCGAATTCTCTCAGCATCTGGACAGAGGTACGGGCGTTTGGCGTTTTTTGAGGTCCCCCCCGATCACGAGTCACGGGATCACATATTATATATATATCTATATATATATATACTATAGCTGATATGTGTATATCTCAGGCTGCCTGATCTAAGCAATCTATCGGATTCTATCACTATAAATAATAAAGCATAGCGTTATCTCTTTTTTTTGTATCCCTATATTATCTATACTATCTACTTACTGGTGCTAAGCGTAGGGAATGGATGGGTTGCTGGGGGCTGCTGGGATTATTCTTGATAGTTAGCCAGTGGATCATTCCCTCATTCCCTACTAAGCACAAGTAAGTCTATCAGATGTTAAAACTGGCAGTATTAACCATCACTATTAACCACTATTAACCATCACCATTAACCAATCATCACTAGTTAAGTAACCATTCATCAGTCCTCATCCCAGTCTTCTCTTGCGGTCTCAGGTCTGGCAGACTTGGGCTGGAGCTGGGCCTATGGAACGAGTTGGGATCCACGGCTGGGGAAGGGATTGAAGTGCGATGTGTTCCGAATAACTAAGGAATCATGGTGGACATGTAGAGATATATATATGTATGTATATATAAGGGATCATTATAGATACATTAGGTATTTATTTAAGGAATACAGTATCTCGTTACTTTCATGAATATAGATATGTGAATGATATATGATTTATAATATTATATATATATACACACACGACTCAGAAATATCATATACATCATTCAGGAATGTGCTTCAGATGGTAATTACTAATAGTGCATATTTATGGATAATGTATGGATATGTATATATGTATACATATATATATATATGTGGATATGTTTACCTACGTGTACATACAAACATTGCTACAATGATTATACAATAAACTCTAATGTCAAACCTGATGAAAATAGATATTTTGTATGGTTTTCCAGTAGATCAATGATACAAACCAAAATCATGTATATAACATGTGACAATTATTCCACCCAAAGACAATGGATACAACCCCAGGTCTCCCCAGTGAGATGTTTGTTTGTGCGTACGAGTTGAAACTGGTTTGGTCCTGCCAAAAGTTTCCTGTATTTGATGGGAAACAGAGCGGGCTTGCGAACCTCTGAAGAAGCAGAGAAGGCACACTGTGCACAATTCCAGCCATAGGAAGCAAGGCTTGACAATCGATGGGCGCAGGCACTTCGCGATTTGTACTTGCAGATTGGAAATGGGCATTCCATTGCCGTCGCGGGCAGTCAAACTTTGAGGCAGCTTGGTCTTCCTGTGAGCAATGCAGGGTCGGACGAGCAGCGTGATGCTCGCCAAAGGGGCTCTTCCAGCAAAATACACAGATATTGCAACCTGTGCATGCAAATATCTTCTGAGGTGGACCTTGTCGGCTAGATCATACCCCGAAAATGCCGCCTCAAAACAGGACCAGTTCTTGAGGAATGTGACGCATCGGATGGAGGCCCGTCCCACTTCCCGGAGAAATTGCAGTAAACGGAATCTATTTGAGTGGCTGGCAGGTCCGGTGCGAATATGAGGCCTGTTCCGGATCTTGGAGCGATGAAAGAGAGATACTTGAAGAACAATAAGAATTTGGCCGAAACCATGGATATGTGATGTGGGGGTGTAACGCCTGTTGCCATGTTTGTTTATGCAGGGCCGAAACCAGCAGATCGAGCACAGAAGTCCAACAACTGTGAGAGAGGCCTGTGAGAAAGTGAAGTCAGCCCAAAAAGACCCAAAAAGATATATGTAGTATCTCACAGTCGTGATGCAGTAGCAAGTGTCATCTCATGTCATCCAAAGAGAACTTGTGATGGAATTGGGTGATCATTCCAGTTTCTACATGTGGGTAGTACCCCAGGTTACATCCCAGTGAAGCATGAGGTTATCTGAATTTGGAGGACTGGGTGCTAGACTAGACGCTTGCAACCTATCTATGGGTGGTTCAATCCTGACTGTTGATAGTTAAATCTACGATTTCTGATGGGTGCATCTTCGTTGTTGTATGCTTAATTAAACCATATTAAACCCTAATTTCGACCGTCAGAGCCCTACCTCTTCTGGTCAAACCCCCGTTCGGGAGATTACATAATCTGCGTGTCGGGATGCTGAAGCCAGCATTCTTCCCCCAATATACTGATGCCCCAAAAGACCACCTTCGAAATCCTACAGGACAACTTTTCTAAATCATGGCCAATGTTGATCTTGTGTAATTACAGCCGGACAAAATTACATAAAATAATTGTTGCTGCTCCATATCAGGACCATTCTTCACCTACCCGGTCTTGGGGCCCCTGCATTGCACTCTCGCAATAGATGTAAATGATATAAATGTAGAACAATCTGAAATTATGCCTTAAATAATCCATATAACATCCTAGAACCCTGGACACATGACACAAAAACAAATCTTTAGGCCCACCGGAATATAGACTATATACATGTGTATCTGTACATCCATACACAGTAAACTGGCATGCTATATGTTGATTATATAACATCGACCCCAGATGAATGATGGTTGTGTTTATTTGCAGATGATCACTAAAATTTTCATCCCCCTACCATCTGGTAAACGTTTACATAACTATGGAAAATCACCATTTTATAGCTGGGTGAATCAACTTTTTTAAGACCATTTTCAATAGCTACGTAACAAACTACCAGAGGATAAATCCCACTACATCCCATTAAATCACCATTAAATCACCATTAAAATAGCTATTTACCTTTACATACCATTAAAATCCCATTGTTCCGTTTTTTTTTTCACGAACCTCCACCAAGCGATAGACCTTGAACCATCTAAAACCGCCAGGTGCTGAGACTCAGGTTTTCTGAGACGGCGAAAAGATCGAAAAAGTTGGCGCCGAGTTTTCAGAGGATCATCTCTAAAAGGGGTTGGAAGACCATGGGTTTTCCCATGAAGATTATCACTAGGTCAATCTTACATGGATACTTTAATCCTTTAGTCTTTTGGTATTAATGGGAATATCTACTAACCAGCAAAGAATTTGTCATTTTTGCAGGGTATCTAAGATTGGCAATGATCACTGGTTTTAATGGGAAATATCATGGAATATGGTGATTAATTATATGGCATTTCAAACAGTTTCTAGGTCAATCAACTGGATGGTTAATAGATGGTTAATGAGATGGTGGTGATTAATGGATGATTAACGGATAATTAATAGATGGTTTACTAGGTCAATCAACTGGATGGGTAGAAACTCATCCGAACTAGTCTTGGATGGTATCAATGGGATTGTCTACGTTCACCAACTAAAAAAAATGCATGGTATCTAAGATTGGCCATGTTTATGAACCCATCCAGTTGTGGATATATGGTATACCTATATCATTCCCATCAAAAAACCTGCAAAGCCTAGTTATAAACCGACTTACCTAGGGGCACCATGTAAGGATCTTTTCTGGCTTCATGGCATTTCCAGATTCCACTTGAAAGCCGTAGGCTGTATCGACCTCACAACAACCAATCGAGATGATGATTAGGATTGGTGGACCTCACACAAAATGGCCAGATTTATGAGCTTTGAAAATTACCCAAAAGTAAAATGCCCCAACAAACTGACAATTCCAGTGCAATGGCCACGACTCTCGACATCGCATAAGAATGCGGATGAGGTTTTCGTATTTTTCAGATTAGCCTGATGACATGGAGAGTTCAACCTGATAGATAATGTCCGAAAGAAGAATGGATTATGGTTTAAGAGCAAAATTAAGACAAAAGACGCGTAGGTAAGACGTGGTGATTACTGTATTTGATTTTTTTCCATGCCTATAGCCCATGTGCTCCTTGATGCTGGTATATTTACCAACATGATTCCACCCAAAATATCCAAAAACAACTCAATTAGTTTTGCAGGTACATACCAAAAAATTGGCCATGTGGTTAAGTCATGTTTGAAACATCTCAAACCGTCAATAAATCAAAGAATCAGAAAGTAGAGATTTACATTCCCCATATGCTCCATGTATGGTATATTTACCAACAAAACTGGATGATTTTTAGGGCAAATGTTGGTAAATATTCCATAGACTGGTATATGATTAGTTGGGATCCATGACTGGGTTGACAAGGTTCCGGAGGAACTTTTTTTAGTGCATGTCTCTCAGGGGCTGATTTCTGTGCCTTTTTACGGAGATATCTTTTGGTAATTTCTTGCAGTTTACAAACTGAATTCCATGGCCCATTTACAATTGGTTTACCTACAGTACAAGTGTGATTTTCATTGATTTTCAACGGTTATGTCAAATTACCAGAGGGTATGATCATGGATACTACAGACTCTAAGCTTAGCTATGCCACTCACCATGGCTCCTGGTGATGCAGAAATACTCATATATATATATGAGAAACCCAATAATAAGCCTACCATTTGAGATTTATATTTATAGCACCCATTTATGGTAAATTTGGAAAAAGTTTATGGCATTGGCGTTACCACAATGATATATTCGTGCATTTCGCTGGCCAGCTTTCTGACAATGGCTGGAGCACGAGGCAATACGAGGGCGAAAATCCCATAGAAAATGGCAGGATTTTCCCTGTACAGATGGTATTTTTCCTAAGCAGATGGAAGAACCAGCCCAAAAAAATCCCTCACGCTGTGAAGTACCATTTCCTTATGACTTTAATCTTAAGACTCCCAGAAGTGGGAAACACTGTTGGGTATCAAAATTTATTTTTTAGTGATTATTTAGTATTTCTCTAGCGTTTGGGATTAGCGTTTATTTTGTTAATGTTTTGGCTTTCCATTTTTTTGACCACAGATTCAAGGTGATTGCGGTTTGGTTTGCTCAGTTCCTTGTGTTGTGTCCACCGTTTTGCTCACAAGCAGAGGCAAGTTGCTTGGGGAACGCTGAAAGAAAACTTGTTGTCAATCTTTGGGTGTGGGTTCTGACAAATATACTAACCTACTCATACTGGAACCCATCATAGAAAGTACTTCAAAGTTGAAAGGAAAATATAGATTTCTAAGTTCACAGTTCAGGCAAGGGGCCCTGTTGGAATGTATGACAATGTGTGAGTTTAAGTTTAAGTCAAGAAAGGATGGTCAGTAAATACTATTCGTCTGCTTAGCCAAGCTTCAATATTTATGTTGTTCGATATCTGGAACCCTCTAGACTCTAGACTGTATCCCAAAGGTTTTTAGAAAATTCGACAACTTTAGAATCTCTAACTCTTAGTTAAAAATATTTAGAATGGAAGGTGTTCTGTTACTGAACTTGAGTCATTCCTGCATTGCTACTACTGAGCTGCTACTGGATGAAACAATTGCTGGGCTGGTCAACCAATCATGATGGTACTGACTCTGTTTCTGACTGATGTGCAACTTGGATGCATCATCAAAATCAAGGAACAGGAACCACTGTGAAACCAAAAGGATTGGTTCGTGATTGTGAGAATTTCAGAAAAGCCGAATGCCGCCTGAACAAACAGCATCACGATTCCAAAAGCCCACGCAAACGCTATTTCGAAACGCTATTTCGAAACGCTAGAAAAACGCTAGAAAAACGCTAGAAAAACACTAAAACTCGAGGTTTTAGCGTTTTTCTAGCGTTTTTGGAGCTAATTACCTAGGACCCCGAGAAAAACGCTATTTCGAAACGCTAGAAAAACGCTAGAAAAACACTAACACTCGAGGTTTTAGCGTTTTTCTAGCGTTTTTGGAGCAAATTACCTTAGGAACCCGAAAAACGCTAGAAAAACGCTAAAAAAACACTAAAACTCGAGGTTTTAGCGTTTTTCTAGCCTTTTTGGAGCAAATTACCTTAGGAGCCCGAAAAACGCTAGAAAAATGCTAAAAAAACACTAAAACTCGAGGTTTTAGCGTTTTTCTAGCGTTTTTCGGGTTCCTAATGTAATCTGCTCCAAAAACGCTAGAAAAACGCTAAAACCTCGAGTTTTAGTGTTTTTTTAGCGTTTTTTTAGCGTTTTTCTAGCGTTTTTTCGGGCTCCTAAGGTAATTTGCTCCAAAAACGCTAGAAAAACGCTAAAACCTCGAGTTTTAGTGTTTTTTTCGCGTTTTTCTAGCGTTTTTCGACCTCCTAAGGTAATTTGCTCCAAAAACGCTAGAAAAACGCTAAAACCTCGAGTTTTAGCGTTTTTTTAGCGTTTTTCGGGTTCCTAAGGTAATTTGCTCCAAAAACGCTAGAAAAACGCTAAAACCTCGAGTTTTAGTGTTTTTCTAGCGTTTTTCTAGCGTTTCGAAATAGCGTTTTTCTCGGGGTCCTATAGGTAATTTGATCCAAAAACGCTAGAAAAACGCTAAAACCTCGAGTTTTAGTGTTTTTCTAGCGTTTTTCTAGCGTTTCCAAATAGCGTTTCGAAATAGCATGTTTCCAAAAGGGTTCATGAAGTCTCTGATTTAGCTACTCTTTTTGGATCGCAGCAGGCCAAGCAACTTGTAGATTGTAAATTTGAGTTGTCTGGTTTCAGTTGGTGGAAGAAAATCTGTCTGTTCAACTTATTTTGGTATCTCTGTACCTGATTGATGGTGCTATTCCTCTATGTCTTAGTGGGTCCTGTTAGAGATGAACGATATGTCCAAAGTATGTACAATGTAATATATACGATATATGATTCTGACAATACGATTTACACTATATTATATATAGTCACTATATATTATAACAATATTCATTGTTTGTCTTTCCGTTTGGTTTGCTTGCTTGATTTGATCGAAAACTTGAAATTGCTGTCGTGGATTTCGCCAAGCCGTTGAGAGCGAAAGATGTTGGTGTTGAGGGGTATCAGGGACTACATAGTAGTGACTAGTGACTAGTAGCTTAGGCTTCAAGCTAAAATGGTTCAAGCAGTGGCTCTTCAAAGGAGATTCCACAAAAGGACAGCATTCTTATGGAAAAAAGTGTCTCAAGCCACTCCACAGTTGACAATTTTGCTGGTTACTTTTCCCCTGCCCACTCCCACTCTCCCACCTCCAGGAAACCCTCTTATACACCACTAATCTGAAACGCTCCAAAACCACTAGAAAAACACTAAAAAATAATATTGGGTCTGGCAGCTTTTGCCACATCCCGGAAGTCTTAACTTTAATCCACTGACAACTGATGGGTAGGCCATTATTGCCTACAAAGTAGGACTTGCCATCAATGAATAAAAAGTCAGCTACGGAAAATCACCATCTCGAATAGGTAAATCATCATAAATCACCAATGGGTCACTCTCCAGTTCGCTATGTAGCAAACTACCAGAGGGTAAATCCCATCCAATTAAATCACCATGAAAATCCATTAAAATCACCATTTAAATCACCACATATTAAATCTGGGTAAATTATAACGACCTCACTGCGACCTCACTGGAATAATGGTTAGTACTGGAAATCATCTCCAAATCGCCTTAATTCAGGTTAGTGAAATATAGTTTTATTTACCCAGATTAAATCACCATGAAAATGGCCAAAGATTTCGATTCCACCATAGCTTTTCAAAGACGACCCAACGAATCTCGCTGCGATGGTGGTGTCCAGCGCACTTTGGCACTGGACCAACGTCCATGGTTCAATTCCAGGTGCCAAGGAAGTGCATCGCTGGTTGTTGGAAATTTACCAAGAAACGTGTGGGAACTAATCCCGTTTTGTTATATGGCAGTGCGTCAAAGCCCTTGTACCCCTGGTGAACATCAAAATAGCTGGTGTTTATGGATGTTCATCCACCTAAAAATAGTATTAATAGGTATTGACCCATACCCATATTGTTAATGGTTCAATGGTTCATGTATAAATTATATATAGCATCCCCATGTTCTCCTTTACTATCTCATAGTATTCATGGTTATGTAAACCCCCTACAAATTGTGCTTACCCTCTGGTAAACGAACATAGCTATGGGAAACCAGCATGTTTCATGGTAAATCAACTATAAATGGCAATTTTCTATAGCTATGTTAGTTTACCAGAGGGCATTCCATCCACCTGATATTTACATATATGAAATACTGCCAGTTTGGGGAAATTGAAATGATCCAAACATAAATGAGGATTTTGAGGGCTTGGGCTCACATACAAACCAGTTGGTTTTGAACAAACTGCATGGTGATAGAACTTATCTGGTTGGTGGTTTGGAACATTTTTTCCATATATTGGGAATAATGATCCCAACTGACTTTCATATTTTGCAGAGGGGTAGGTCAACCAGCAACCAGTTCTGAATGAACGTGTGAACCCGACTGGTGCCTGGGATACCCCAATCTGACAGTTGGGGTCCAAGATTTTCAGACTTGTCTTTTCAAGGTCAAGCCATGAAGATTATCACTGGTTATTTCATGGGAATATCATGGAATATGGTGATTAATTATATGGCGTTTAAAGCAGTTTCTAGGTCAATCAGCTGGATGGTTAATGGATGATTAATGGATGATGGATAACTCATGGGTGGTTCACTAGGTCAATCAACTGGATGGGTAGAAACTCATCCGAACTAGTCTCAAGTGGTATCAATGGGATTATCTACTTACTCACCAGCTAAGAATTGGTCATTTTTTGCATGGTATATGGCAGATTGGCCATGTGTTCCATCAACCCCCACACAACAAAATCAGTGCAACGCGGGATGACTATGCTACACATGTCCACGACCCGGTGTCATTAAATATGGCTAGCTGGACAATGCCATTTATTTTTGGGTAAATTATACCGACCTCGCTGTTCTCCCTCACTGGAATCATGGTTAATAAGAGGAATCATCCCCAAATGGCCCAACATTTCAGGTTAGTGAAATATGATAATTTACCCAGATATGTAATCATATGTATGACAAACATATCCCCATCGTTAAATATATACATATATATATATGAATATGGGTATGGATCAATACCTATAGATACCATTTTTAGTGGGTTATTCACATCCATAAATCCCAGCTATTTTGGGGTTCACGGCACGGTACCAGGGTTTTGACCCATCCCCATATGAATATAGCCATTCTATTATCAATGGATTGGTTTAAGGGAAAATCTACAGGAAACCATAGATTTTCCCATTAAATATGGGGCTTTCCTGTAAATTCTCCCCTAATCCAATCCATTGATATTAATATAGACATCAAATATGGCTTGTTGGGAAAGTCAACTCGGTCAACTCAGGATTTTCCAGCCATCTTTGATGACACAATCGGTGCCGATTTTTTCGCTGCGGTTTTCCAAAAACCTTTAAGCGTCCAAAAAAAAAACGTCCAACGAGAAAGTGAAATTTACATCTGTTTTTGAGTTGGTGACCTCCGAAAATTCTGGTTCACGACTGGTTCTAAGATGTTCTACAAGGTGGTGCCCCAGTTCGTTATCCATAGTTAATGGGGTTTATAAACCAACTTATAACTATGGGGGTACCACCTTGTAAGATGTTCTAAGCCCAGGTTCCAACAGAACTGTGGTCATGTGGTTGTCATTTGTTATCCTCTTCGACCATCTTCGCCCCCATTTCTCTTGGTGGATTGGAAGACAACAAAAAAAAGGCAACTGCTGGAGCTGATAAAGCGCTTTCCTGACTAGACATGCTGTACAACGAGGAGTGGAACTGAACATGGAAAGCCAGGGAGTATTCTCTGGTGGATTTTCCAGCCATGCTGAAACCACATGTGTCATGGGGATGGTCATGAATCGAATCCAATAGGGATGGACATAAAAAAATAGCCATTTATATAGCCAATAGAAATCTGGATGTGTGATGACCATACCGACCATACCCCATATGGTGTGACCTTGGCAACCGGATGTTTCTTGGTTGATTTTTTGAAAGTTATCTCCCCAGTTTCTCCACTGTTTTCTTGTTTTGAGCCATATATGGGCTGTTTTTTAATCATGTTTTACCCTCTGGTAAACAAACATAACGAACTGGAAAATCACCATTTTTAGTGGGTAAATCAGCTATGTCTATGGCCATTTTCAATAGCTATGTAACAACTTACCAGAGGGTATCCCCATTTCTGTTGCTTTATTGGTGCTCGCTGGAGGTCAAACATCCTGTTTTGGCAGCTTCCAGAACCAGTTTCCATGTGAGCAGTGGCTGCGATCTACCCCTGTTGGTTGATGATTAATTATAGGGGATTATACTACCCAATCTGGTTGCTGGTTTGGAACATTTTTATTTTTCCATTCAGCTGGGAATTTCATCATCCCAACTGACGAAGTCATATTTTCAGAGGGGTGGCTCAACCACCAACCAGCAATATATTGAGGATCAGAATAATCCAATAGGGAAATCCCTATCAACCAGCCAGTATAATGGAATGATAGAGGGATTTTGAACAGTGATCATGTCGAAAATTGGTGTGTCCAAGAATTTTTACGGAAAAACAAATCCAATGATTATCGTAGATGATTCTAATCATAATTTTCCCGATGTTGAAATTGCTATCTGCAGGTCTTCCCCGTTTTCAGCCACACCCACCTTTTGGCGGCCTATTTTTATAGGCCGCCCCATGCGTCAACGTGTGGCAATGGAAGCGACGGGGGCGCCAGTACACGAAGGACCGACCAAGTGCAGCTGGGCCATGGTGGTCATGGTGCTTGGTGGCCCATCCCACAGGGTGGTGCCCCAGTTTGGAATCGCTAAGTTGGTGCGTTTATAAGTCCAACTTCACGTTTGGGTTGATGAATGGGGGTTGTATCGAACTAGTAACTAGTATTCATGGGGATTATAAACTTATAAACCAACATTCACATCATTGGGCCCCATCCCACGAATTGTCTTTGTGGGTCAGTTCACCCCAGTTATGGGATAAGTAGAGTTAATCCACCTATTTCACTGGGGTTTTTACTAAGCCACTGACACAATTTGTGGGATGATCCAGCAAAAAAATTGACCCGTACCCAGTGTTGGTGGACCAGCAGATCAATTCCGATTCATGGTGGATACCTCAAACTTAGTAGTAAATAGTATCCCTTATTATCATTATGATGATTGTTAGTAAGACTATTTACTATTAGTATCCCCAAAAATGTATCATTACTGTAATACTACAAAAAAGTATCATGAAATAATAGTATCATGAAATAGTATCACAACTATACTATCATAGCTATGAATGTATGCACTATGATCATTACTATTAGACTATTATCATGATGTTTTCTATTATCATAGTGATCCCCTGGAACTTTCCCACGGTATCCCCCATTTTTATAGGCGACTTTTCATAGGGAGCCGGGGTGATTCGCCACTTGGGTTGGAGTACCTGCGAACGGGGCATTGCCAGTTGCCAGTCACCCTGGTCGCCAAAAAAGCGAATTCCGATTTCGTGGATTACGAATCTGGACCCAAAAAAAGAGTTGCATCCAAGATGTTTTCCTCAGATTCTGATCAATGGCAAAGTTAAAGTAGAGGATTTATATCTGGTTGGTGGTGACTGGAACATTTGGATGATTTTTCCATATATTGGGAATTTCATAGTCCCAACTGACGAACTCATATTTTTCAGAGGGGTAGGTCAACCACCAACCAGATATGATGTAAACCCATTTTGACATCCAGACAAACTACCACCAAATCTCCCCCAATGGCTAACCCAACATTTCGGGTTAGTGAAATATTATAATTTACCCAGATTTATAAATACTAATATTTATTATGTATAATTATTAGTATTTACCCATAATTTATCCAACATTTTGGATTTACCAAATCTGGACAAATACTAAGTCTGGAGAATGGCAAAGATCTCGAAGTACAAAATGGCTCCGGATCCCAGAAGATACCCGGCCTGGTCAACGTTTACATTTTGCGAACTGGAAAATCACCATGTTTAATGGGTAAATCACCATGTTGAATTGGGAAAATCCACTATAAATGGGCCATTTGCAATAGCTATCTTAGTTTCCGAAGATATCCATTTGACATTCACGCACGGGCAACTTTGCGTAGGAAGAGCTGCTACGACGTCGGCCCATGTTGCGGGAGGATTTCGGGGGAGGGGGGCGTGCCAACTGGGTGAGGCGTTGAATAGAACCTAAACTCGTGCTTTTAAATGGACCTGTATTATTATAATATATTATATATATATATACGTGTAACGTATGTATGTACATGTTCATCTAGATAGATGGAGTGGATGGGGTTCGATTTGATTCAAATAGATCAGATAGCCTAGACTAGAGAATTGGGTTGGATTTAGATTTAGTTTCAGATTGGATTAGACTAGATCAGGTAGACTAGTTAGATAAGAAAAGATAGATTAGATAGAATATTTATATTTATATATTTGTGTACATATTTATATATATAGATATTACCTTGATTAGATAAATTAGATCGGTGAGGTCATTCGGTGAGATCAATTAGACAAATAGGGCGGATAAGATGGATATGATTGATACCACGGGTACAATGGATAAGATAGACAAGATGGTTAACAGATATTAGATTAGAGAGAAAAGACGGAAAAGGCGTGGACAAGATGGACAAGATAGGTGAATGGTGAGATACACGGAAGGTAGGTGAATGGACAAGATAGGTAGATAATGCAGAAAGGCAGATCAGACCGATAAGACGGATTAGATGTTTACAAGATGGATCAGATAGATTAGATGGATACGACGGAAGAGACACATAAGATCGATTAGATAGATACGACTCGACGGAAAAGATAGATTAGATAAATTAGATAGATAAGATAGATATAATAGACAGGTTGGATAGTTTGCGTGGATAGATGGATAGATGGATAGATAGGATAGGATTAGATAGACAGATTAGATAGATTAGATAGATAGATTAGATAGATAGGCTACATAAATAAGATACATTAGATAGATTAGATCGATTAGACGGAAAAGACGGATCAGATAGATAAATTAGATAGATTAGATAGATTAGATAGATAGGATAGATAGGTTAGATAGCATAGACATGTCTTATTAACCATCCAGCTAAACACTCAGGTTGTGCAGGGTATGAAAGATTACTGTAGCCATTGATCTAATCAATGGCCATTTCAGGAACCGATTCATTGGAGGTACCTAGATTTTGTTCAGACCTATTTTTTAGGCCTATGTAAATTTCAGCGAATATCCCCACAATTCATATGGCCAAACATATGGTACGTTCACGTACCTCCATCAATTGTATCCTTGTTTATTCCCATTGATCTAACTTCGCAAGCTGATTCCAAGGAGGTCAGGTCTCAGCGCTTCGATGGATTCTGCATAACTCGTGTAGTGAGTGGAAAAACCGTGGGTTGTAAGAAAAAATGCCAAAATCAAGGTGAAACCCATTGAACCCCCATCGAAATCCACAAAACTAGGTCAATCTTGGATGGTTAATTTAATCTTTCAGTCTTGGGTGGTATCATTGGAATTATCTACGTTCACCAGTGAAGAATTTTCTATTTGTGCATGGTATCTAAGATTGGCTATGTATCATACCATCTGCAAAATAGGAAAAAATCGAGATTAACCAGCAAAATGGTGGCATCACGGAATATATTCCGATAAAACTGACTGGTTCTGAAAATCCCGCAGTTTCAAAAGTCATTTTGCTTTTCTTGTGTCATTTCTGTTTTGGTTTACTCATTGGAGTGCCAAGAAAGTGGGGTTTCTACAGGGGGTCCTGGTCAACGTTTTAAACGAAACCATTGGACTATGATCTAACCGTTAGAAAACTTGAATTTCATGACATAACTGATTTATGATAGCTGTATGATAGCTGTATGATAGCTGTATGATAGCTGTATGATAGCTGTATGATAGCTATATAAGTTGGTTGATAACTCCAATAGCCATGGCTCATGATACGTATAAGTACAGCATTCATGGCACTTATCAAGCAACAAACATCACTGGGGGGGCACATTGCAGCCGACACCGAATCCTGTGGCTTACCCCAGTGAAATTTTCGTAGCTTAACCAATACTATCCCAATATAATCTTACTAAGTATCCCTGGTTATAACCCCAATACTAATTGGTTAACTCTACTTATCTCACCAAAAAAAGCCAGGGATGAGCCTCGGATGAGCCTCGGATGAGCCACCAGCTGTATTCGAAAAGGTCATCCCTTCTGGGTGTTGACCCAGACGATTCGAACGATAATTCGTGCAAGGTGGTGCCCCAGTTCGTTAGCTAAGTTGGTACAAATAAGTCCAATAACTAGGGTTGATTAGGTGGTTATATCCATAGTTAATGGGGTTTATAAACCAACTTATAACTATGGGGGCACCACCTTGTGGGAGTAGCAACTTTTCGGAAACCGGCCGACCCAGATGAGTTTCGAAACTTAAATAATATGGTTTATTGTCAGCTGATGGTTTAGTAAACTAGATATACTAGCTATACGGTATTATCAGCTGATATGATCAGGTTTTTACTTTTGGCAAATGGTTTAGTAATATAGCCGATAATCCCAAATAGACCTGGGATTTGCAGCGAGATATCTTTGGATATTGTAGTTCGTAGCAACCTCAACGGACCAAGCCCCAAAAAGAAGATGCTTCATTTTGCAAAGCGTGTCGGGGATCCACTAAACAATATCAGGAAAGGTTCAACAGGAAGAAAAACCGACAACGTAGCAAGAATCCAGATAACTATTGCCAGCAACCGATTGGCATGCAGCCAGCCAACCTGGGCAGAAAGCAAACCATGATGTCCCTAGTTTGGAAAAAGCCAAATGGGGGGTTCCTTAAATGGGGGTACCCCAAAATGGATGGTTTAAATGGGAAAATCGTATTAAAATGGATGACTTGGGGGTACCCCCATTTTAGGAAATCCCCAAATGTTATTCAAATACAGTTTTGAATGTGTTGACATCTTGATGTGGGCGTTGGTTGTGATCCCTTCGGTGGACAACGGTGATGCTTGAATGGGACATAATGGGACATTGCACAACCCCCGCATACATCATGGCATGCATGGAACTTGGCATTTGTCAGTTGCACCACTTGCGTTAAGGTGGCGGGGCAGACCTTCACACTATTCAGGACATTATCAAGACGAAGACAAAGCACGAGCTGCAATCTGCAATGGCGTTGCGACAAGATGGAGGATCTCTTCTAAAACCAATGGCAAGTAAAGAATTATGGTCGTAGCCAACCTCTGTCATGGCAGCACCCCCACCCCAGCACCTTTTTGCCGATAACCACCCTTCTCCTCGGACACGTGTAGATCTGGAAGGATGATCCCTGCGCCATGGCTTCGCGGCTTATCAATCCGCAATGTAACTTACCACTGCTCCCTGAGAAACCTCTTCAAAACAATTGCCCAACCAGTTCCTAACAATATCCCACCCTGGCGATGTGCTTCAAACCTTTCACCTCCAGGCGCTCGCAGATCTCCCATGCACGCCGGGACACCGCCGACCGCGGACCTTGTTGCGACGCTTGGCAAAGCGATGACTCCTACAAAAATGGCGTTTTCATAGCCATTGTTTTTCAGTCTTGGGATATCAGCAACGTCTTCAAGTCCAAAAATGGGGCACGGACCCAATTCTCAAGATTCTGATTGGGAAATCTGCGATGAATCAGTGGATTCTGTTGGCGCCTAATTTTTCCTTAGCTTCTGATGGGTGCTATACTGCTGCCTCTTTCAAAACATGAACCACCCGAAAAAACGAATTATATAAGCACCCCACGTGGGGAGTTGATTGATTGTATACTTGGTTGATGTTGTGATAGCTTTGAGTCAGTCCAATTCAATCGCCAAAAGTGGAGAGATTCACGGCAACGAAAAGACGAACCCACAAATGATATTGCTGTTCAGGTGGTACAAGTTGGCTTCATGGGGATTGCCAAAACACACTTTGGGAACCCATTTCAACCAATCAGTAGAAAGAAGGGTTGCTGCATCCATCCGGCAAAATTTGGCGAAATCCTTGCAGTAAACGATATGCATACAACAGCTGCAAACCTGGAAATGACATGAAGGAGGAAACATCATTTGTAACCTTGCAAATTGTGTTTCTATTTTGTTGGGGTTTGCTTTTCGGCACACCAACGTGAATAAAAAATCAGCGGTGAGGTTCGTGCGACTAGGGAAGTAAGACCACTTTCCTTTTTTTGCACGCCGTAAACGGAAACAATTAAAGCCTGCTAAATTGCGATATCCACTGAGTTAACATCATAGTAAGCGAAGAAACGGCGATACTATGGCGATATTTTGTGGGATTAAAACTTGGGGCCTCGGTACCTCCCGAACATTCTCAAGGACACCCAGATTGAGAAATCAATTAAAATTAAAATCCTAAGTGTTTATGTTTTCGAGAAATCAATGATTGGCCATGAGACGGTTCAGTATTGGAGCACAAACATGTTGACATCCTTTTGTTTTGTTTACAAACCTCGCTTGTGATGGTTGGCGGAAAGAATATCAACAAATTGGATGGAATTTGAAATTAACATCTTGTTTCGAACCTGGGTATGCACCCATAATATGATATTATCATTTGTGAAACTAACATACATGTATACATTTGCATGTATATCTATACGTATGTTAATATATATATATGTGTGTGTACATGCATGTGCATATGTACATATATATATATATGCATACATGCATATTTTTGGTGGTATACATTGAAGTGAGGTGCAACTTGGCCACTTTTAGGGTTTCCCCATCTGAAAAGATTTTTTCCAGCAGTAAATTCGTTGGCTCAACAGGACTTGGTCGCAGAAAAATTGCCCAAACATTCAGCCTGTCGTGATGGCGTTTGGTCGTTGGTCCATTTCGTTATTTTTGGTTGGTCGCTTGGATTTCAGCAAGAAAACCAGGCAGCAAATCATCAATCTATGGATTTACCATCAATAGATGGGGATGTAACGGATATACGTGGATATTCGCCATCAATGAGGGAAACAAATACATGTATATATATACATGCTTTAATTTATTTATCTGAGTCACGGTCAAAATGTTTGAAGACCACTTTAGTACTGCAGGAGTTTTTTGTCAGAGATGTGCACGAAACACTGTAAAGCGATAGAGCCCCCTAAAAGCGAGAACCTGGGACCATACACGGCAGTCCATTAAGTTTTGGTTTTATGTTGGATCTCGAATATGCTGATTTCCACAAAACCCTGGAAAGCGATAGGGCCCCCCCAAAAGCGATAACCATAACAATAGCAACTACTCAGATGTAAAGGATTTTGACGGGAACCCATATATAGATTTATTTTTATGCTGCATAAATGAATCTAATGATAATACCAACTAGTTTTGGGACATATATTGGGGAAATAAATTGCGGATATAATGGAGATATACCAACTTTTGCATAATTCTCATCAGGGACTGGGCAGGTTGCGGGACGCAAATTGGGGTCTGGCTTTGGTTTTTGCATTCCATCAATGGGAACCCCTTGATGTTCATGGAATATTGAAATATGATTTCCATTAGTACTATATTTCCGTCCTTTTCCAGTTGTACTATATTTGATTTTTTATATACCCATGAGTACTACGTTTCCATGACTATTACAGTAGTCTATATGAAAATATTCCATTCATAGTTCACTTTGTTTTCTCCAGATGGAGCGCTCAGGGCTGTGCAGAGCACAGAAGGCGATCGTGGGAAGCTTTGGAACTTATCCAGGTTACACAGGCGCCTGGTGGCCGGGAACTGCGCTTCCAAGTGAGGTAAACGTACAAAAAAAGGTCGGAAACCGATGGTTTCCCCTGGGAAAATGATTTAGAAATGATGGATTCTCGGATTTGCCAGATCTATGGTAGTTTGCTGGAGGGTAGTTGGTAATTCATTTATTACCCTTGTTCCCATAAAATTTGGAGATATATTGGGGATGACTTCTGCATTCCTATACGCTCGGTCTTCAGCCCTTATCCCTTGCAGCGCATGAGTATTTATATGGGGGGGGTCCTAAAATGGAGGTACCCCAAATCACCATGATTGTTTCAATACTAAAAAAGATGAAAATAGCCATCCATGACTTGGATGATTGCGGGGTACCCATCTCTATAGATCAGCAAAGCCTGGCATCTTCTTGTTCCGCAAGTTCCATAAGTTGAACTTTTCGGGCAAGGCAATCAACCACCAAGTCCGGCTGAGTGATAGGAATGGTGCGTGATGGTTGGTGTTAGCCCCATGTTTTGTTGCTTCGGATGCGCCTCCACGATGCATCAAGGGGTTAGTCTGGGGTTGGTATTATTGACATGGTCCACGCTAGGGAAATCTTGATTTTTTTTCTCGTGAATAATTCCCTAGAATAGAAAGTAAAGATTTCAATCCGGATGCGTTGGGATTGGGGGGATGCGCAACGGGAAGATACTCCATAGATCAAAAGAGTAGTTTTTGTATGATTCGGAGAAGTTTCCCAGTTTTTGTCATTATCTACATGCAAACCTGTGTTTGTTAGTTCGTTCATCATTCCAATAATTTCCTTGATTACAAATATATAATCAATTGGGGAAAAAACCATGGTTTCCTGGATACGTCCTTTGATTCTCAGTCCATTTCCGTTCCACAGATGGCAGGTAGCTTGTCCTCAGTTTCCGGCGTGATGTCGGTGGACAGTGGCTTGACATCTCAAAGACCTGGGCAAAACCTTGGGTGAGCCAGATGACTCAATCTTGAGCCATGGAAACCCATTCCATCTACTGATCATCATCTTCCCTGTATGGCCATGATCTAAGCCAAATGACCTATTTTTGAGCTCCTATTTCCCCCCAGAAATTTCACAGTTCGCGAAGCCAGGGTGTGTTTTGTTCGATGATATACACATTAAAATGCTGATTTTCCCATAGCAAACGCCAAATTCCCAGAGGGTAGTTGGCCGTGCCTCTCTTCGAGGCGTCCCCAATGTTCGAACTTCAAGATGTCTCCAGTGGGTCGATAATCAGAGGGATGATTCAACAACCACTAGGTATGTAAATGATTAAAAAAAAAAAACATATCCCTGGAGGATCATCCCTGGATGGGTTGGAAAACCATGGGAAAACCATGAAGATTATCACTGGTTATTTCATGGGAATATCATGGAATATGGTGATTAATTATATGGCATTTAAAGCAGTTTGTAGGTCAATCAACTGGATGGAGGATATACAACCAACCATTGGGGATATAATGGGTATATAACCAACATTAAACAACCAAAACGGGATTAATGGATGATTAATGGATGATCAATGGATGGTTTACTAGGTCAATCAACTGGATGGGTAGAAACTCATCCTTTCGTCTTTTGGTATGGGATTATCTACGTTTACCAGCCAAGAATTTTTGTTTTTTGCATGGTATCCAAGATTGGCCATGTATCATACCATCTGCAAAATAGGCAAAAAACGAGATTAACCAGCAAAATTGTGGTACAATGGAATTTATTCCGAAAAAAATGACTGGTTTATAAGAAGCCCAAGTACAACTGGGTTGACATGATTCCATTTACAACCGGGTAAACTTCTACGAAACTCCTCTGCTAATCCATCAATTTCTGCTGCTTAAAACCGACGTCCTTGGTCAGTTCAGTCACCCCTTGTTTTGAAGTTGCGACCGACACTATCCAAAGTTCAGTCACCAAGGTTTAATCAGTTTAATCCTTAATCCAACGAAAAGTTTCTTGTTTTTTCTCAAAATTCGCTGGTTTCAAGTCTCACTTTTATTCCTGGTTGAAGTCGAAGGGGATTTGCCGGCGGCTAGGCGCTTGTGTAAGGTGCTTGAAGAGAAGGTGCCGGCATTGATGGATAAAGTGGAATCTGGCTTCCTGCTCACTGGCAGTGCGTTGAGCAGTGTCCAGGAGCATCTTTAACTCCATAAATCATTGGCCGCCGACCTGGCCAAGCTGTCACAGGAGTATTCGCTCGACAGAACGTCGAGTAAATACTCATTAGCTCAGCTGCAAGAGATTTTGTCCCGCTTTGCCAATTTGGACTGGCAACTTTCTGGTTCGAAATCAGAGCAGAACACCAGCCTCAAGCCACTGACGAATAAGATGCTCGCACAGATGACCTCAGTGAATCAAAATCTCAAAGCCTTACAGCAGGAAGTGACGGCTGGAAATGAACGCCTGTCAGAGGCAGTGAGCAAGGGCTTTCACGAGCTGTCAGTGGCGTTGACAGGAGTCAACAATCCTCCGGTATCAGCCACACCTCTTACTCCTGTTGGAGGATCTACGGCTGCGCCGAAATTGAGCTGCTTCCCGTTTCTTTTCTTCCATAAAGTCAGCCCCAGGAGACGTATTGTCCTCTCCCAACGTTGCAGTCTCCTTGGGTTCAGAAGCAGCTGGCTCCAACGTGCCCTCTGGAACCTCTGGGATCTCAGCAGTGATCTCAGACACACTTCCGAACTTCCCATTTCAGAAAGAGAGGAACGGACGGCGCTTACTTAGCAAGACTAGAACTCCGAACTCTCGCTTGATCACACTGGATTCACGCAACATCCAAACTGCAACACAGCCAGACTAGTTACACAGCTTCTGTTCCTAAACGGCTTCTGCATCGCGTTGAACAAAACATCCCAAAACCACAAGAACAAAACATGTGTTTGGAAAAACTGGTGTTTCACTGGTTTGCGTTTCCTAGGTTTCGTTTCAAAAACGTTTCGTGGCAAAACATGCAAACGAAAACTCACATCAACTGCAACCTGAGTGTCAGCATGTACCGGTCCATGTGCACTGCAGAAATTACAGTCAGACAGCGAAAAGTCCATGGAATTTTGAATGACTTTCCATATCTTGGGAATTTCATCATCCCAACTGACTAAAGTAGAGGATTTATATCTGGTTGGTGGTGACTGGAACATTTGGATGATTTTCCATATATTGGGAGTTTCACCATCCCAACTGGCGAAGACATTTTTTCAGAGAGGTAGGTATACCACCAACCAGAATCATATCCCCAATTATCAACCATGCTTCATGATGGTTACTGATAGTTAATGATGGCTTTCATGTGGGAAAAACAATAATAGTAATATTAAGCCACTATAAACCAATCCTGGCTGGTGGCTTGGAACTTTTTTATTATCTATTGGAATATGAAAAAATTATCCCCACTGGGGGTTCCATATTATCCCACTATTTATTTCCATATTCCAACCACCAACCACCTTGGGTTTGTCTGAAAATGAAAAATACTTCGTTCCATCCACTGGGTTGATCCGACTGTTTCTGTTAGTGAGATGTCCCCGATATATAGCCGTGATATTCCCATGGAAGTGGTGCTTACATCATCATTAAAACGAACATGATCGCATCATAATCCTGTTTTTGAGAAAATACATTGAATCCCTATGTTTTTGTTGGTCAATCCATGTTTGAAAGTTATATTTATCATAATATCACAGTTTATCCAATTTAAATGTTATTCTTCTCCACTTCTCCATTCATCATAATCTTAATGTCTCCCACTATGTCGATTTTTTCAATTTTTCGATGCATCATTTTCATTCATTTTCCAATCGTGCTTTTTTCCATATTCCATATAGTTTTTCCCATCGTTTTCCATTTCTCGCCGCCTCCGCCAGCATGGTCCTCGGGCGTTCAAACGCTCTCCTGGTCCTTGTCCAATGTGGACTCCCGGTGCGCCGAGGCGCGTCGCCGAAGGGAGAGCACTGCGGCCTCTAAGGTTACCGTTTTTTTCAGCTTGGTCTGCAAGGCTTCCAAAAAGGATAGTGAAGTGAATGTATGTAAATATATATCTCTCTCTCTCTGTGTGCATGTATTTGTGTATATATACAAATATGTAGATTATGTGTATATAATTATATTTAAATGAAGTGAATTGGCTATAGTAACCCAAAAAAGATTGGGAACGTGTTTCCAAGAGCTTAGTTCAAAGATATTTACCTCATAATTCCCAGCTTTCCCACTTTTAAGCATCGATTTGGGCGACAAAAATGCGCCCAAAAGCCGCCGTTGGTCCGTTGGTAGTCAGGCCTGCCCAGCCACAAACTGCTGCGGCGTGCACATCCACGTGGGGAAGACCTGCTCCGTTGCAGCAGACATCGGAGGTGAGTGGATCCGGGGTGCCGAGATGGGACTGTGATTACTTGGATGTGCATTCCACGGATCGGATCCGTGGTTTTTAATTCCACATATAACCCATATTTCATCCCATATATAAGTGGGGATATATATATATATATATATGTATGTATTTGTATATATATATACATATACCTGGGGGTATAACTCATTTATTCAGTGGGATGCACCCCCAAGTATACCACATGGGAAACTGGGGGTTCAAAAGGGGGTGAACCGACAATCCAATAGGGATTTCATGGGAATGTAGTGGATTACTCCCATCCACGCAATATTTAACAGCCTTTGGCGTGTTCCGCCGGCCACCATGGAAAGAGCTATCTTGTAAGCTGCAAACAGCCCTTGCACAGGCCCAGCAAGAACATGGTTTTTGTGTAAAACATTGTGTTTGTGGATAATACAGTTTTTGTGTAAAACAGCTCTTGTGTAAAAGAAGGTTTGGACGCAAAAATATTGGTTTTGTTCAAACCACGGTTTAAGTTTAAACCAAAGCATGCGTGTAAACCAGGGTTTTGGAAAAGGATACGATGGGTTGAAAGCACCAAGCAGCTTCATGTGAAGGATCCATGATTGGAATGATCACTAAGGACCTGGATGGGGCCCCCAGCGTTCAGTTGCCTTATGGCTGAATTCCTATGGTTTATGGTAGATATAACGAACTAGTTCATGGATGTTGATGGGGTTTATAAACCAACGTTCACATCTCTTTCACATCACTGGGGGCACCATCCTGTATCAATGGATTCTTTTCAAGTACCATCTGGTTATTTAACAGTTTGCCATGGAAAATCACCATGCTATTAATAGGTAAACCATCTATTTCTATGGGCCATCTATACCATGGCTATGTTAGTCATAACCAGAGGGTAAATTCTCCTTACATCCCATTAAATCACCATAAATCACCATTAAAGTCCATTAAATCACAATTAAAATCACCATTAAAATCCATGAAAAAACACCATTAGAATCACCATTAAAATCCATGAAAAATCACCATTAAATCACCATTAAAATCCATTAAGTCACCATTAAAAAATCACCATTAAAATCCATCAAAAAAACACCATTAAAATCACCATTAAAATCTATGAAAAATCACCACTAAAATCACCATTAAAACCCATGAAAAATCACCACTAAAATCACCATTAAAATCCATGAAAAATCACCATGAAAATCACCATTAAAATCCATGAAAAATCACAATTAAAAATCACCATTAAAAATCACCATTAAAATCACCATTAAAATCACCATTAAAATCTATGAAAAATCACCATTAAAATCACCATAAATCAGAGGGTACCCTTTTGTTTTAATCGTACCTAAGATCAGCAGAACTGATCGGGTCGAATTACCAGGTGGGTAAGCTATGGAAAATTGTGATTTATGGTGATTTAAGTGGATGTAATGGGATTTACCCATTGAGAATGGTGATGTTCTATAGTTATGTTAGTTTACCAGAGGGTAATTAATTAGTAGATTCCCCAGTATAAGTATAATGATTAAATTACTGGTTGGTGGTTTGGAACATGAATTTTATGACTTTCCATATTTTGGGAATAATAATCCCAACTGATTTTCATATTTTTCAGAGGGGTAGGTATACCACCAACCAGATTATAATGACAAATCTGCTAGTAAAGTGATATCCCCCAAATGATTACCAGCGAGGTTTGGCAAAATCCAATTGACACTACTCTAAGCCTGGTTTGATCCACTTCCCCTAACATTTAAGGCCCTCCTGAATTCCGAGGATGGGATTTTAACATCCATCTGGGAGAAAGCCCGGTAATACCCATGGCATGTCACCCCCAAGTGGCCGTTCATAGTCCCTACTGAGAATGTGTCACTATGGACTTCTTATAAACTTGTGTTTTTTCGAGAAAGTTTGAAAGATGAATAAGATGAATGCGGTTCCCGGATATGCTGAAACATACCCTCTGGTAAACAAACATAGCTATTGAAAATGGCCATAGAAATAGTTGATTTACCCAGCTATAAAATGGTGATTTTCCATAGTTTTTTGTATGTTTACCAGAGGGTACATGTTTCAAGACCAAACTTGTCGATCAAGTTTTGGCGATGAGGATCCCCATTGACTGATCCAGATACATCCAGATACTGTTGCGAAATGCTGCACGGATGGGCAAAATGTGGGCAATCCCATGTGATTTACAGGGTTTCATAGGAATCCCCCAGAGAAACTCCCATGTAATTAATGGAATCTCCCCACTTATAGATGGGGTTATAGATGATTTTAGGGGGTATAAATATAAAAAAATAGCAGGAGTTCATGACCGCTCCCCGGGGCAGGCCACTATTATGACTCCACGACTTACACTACCGACCCGTGGCTCACTGTGATGCATCTTGGTGACCACGAGAGGTAAGAACCATGTGTGAAATTTCCTAGTTATACATGGAATATCCTAGTTTTTTGGTGTTATATTATATGTGTGTATCGAGATATTTGATCTAATACATATATATATATACACATTTTGTGTATATATATATATGTACATACATGACTGTGGGATTCACCTTTGAACGGGTTCTGTTTCCACTTCACGGATTCGTTCAAGCCTAGATGGTATGTTGATTGGGATGCCTATCCATTACCATCGGTCTATAGCAGTCTCTAAAAACATAGAAAAGTCAAAACCTAGCAAACTCGTGGTTAGTTATGTTTCCATCTTTTATTGGACTTCATATTTACAGGTAGATAGATAGATAGACAGATAGACAGATAGACAGAAAGAGATAGACATAGACATAGACATAGATACATATATATATATAACCAATCACTAGTTACATTTGTAATATATTTATATATATATTCTATATCTAGTTATTCATTGTAATACATATAACTATGATATTATATTAATAAGATACAAAACTATATATATATACGTATAAATGGTATCCCAGGTACAACGCCACCGACAGTCCCAGCAACACTCTGAGCTTGCCCGTGACCACCGGTCTCGCTGCTCGGCGTCCGTAGGGTCACCGTTGGGGTCTTCCATGGGGATATCAACGTCGATATAAGCAAGAAAAACGGAGGTTTGAATGGGATTTTCATGGGGAAATGGTGATTTTGTGGTTACTTTATGGTTATTTGATGGCATTTGATGGTTCTTAAATGGGATTAATGGTGATGTGGATCTCAAGGGTTAATGGTGATTAAATGGTGATTTAATGATGATTTGATGGTGATTGAATGGGATTCAACAATGATTTAATGCGATATTTATGGGGCTATGATGCGATGTGTATATATATATATACAGTGTATGTGTATATATATATATATGTATATATATATATATATATCACTAGTCACTAGCTATCAGCTATCCAATTTGGGTCTGTCTGAAAACGGATGGATTTACGCACAAAACCACCTTATTTTTCAGTAGTTTCCAACGGATGATAAACCAGAAAATGTGGGGGTCCCAAAGAGATTCGTGTCAACTTTGGTTGAAGGTACAATGTGGGCCCCCCCAGTTATAAGATAGTTTATAAATCCCATTAAGTATGGTTATAGGTACCATAAACCATAGTTATTGGAGTTTTTTGCACCAACTTAGCTATCGTAAACGGGGCCCCCACTTTGTATCATCCTTCAAAATCCTCTGTTTTTGTTGTGTCCCTCATGTGAAATTGGCTAGATTTCCATGGTTTTTGAGCGATTTTGGGGGATGAATCAGAGCCGGGAAACCAGCTCCCGTTTTGGAGCTGTCATCCATCGGAGGTGCATTCCACGGATCCACGGATCGGATCCGTGGTTTATAATCCATGTATACCCTTTATAATCATCTATAATCCCATCTTTAAGTGGGGATATTCCATTAATCTCACTGGGGGTACAAGCCATTTTACTCAGGTCCCACACCCCCAAATCCAATCTTCGTTGGTTGAGTTCCCATCTTTGCTGCTTAAAAAAACCTTCCTTTCTTGATGACATCCACCTTTTAAAAAAGGCTCAGCCCCCATCTACTGTGGATGGGCCAGCGAAGTCCTGCACCACTTGGGGAGAACTCTTTTGGGATTCCGATATGAAACACAACAAACTCTCTGGATATTTGACACATAGCTATTGAACATGGCCATAGAAATAGTTGATTTTCCCAATAAAAATTGCGATTTTCCATAGTTATGTTAGTTTACCAAATCTTAATCAAAGGAAGTTGGGAAGCAATACTTCCGAGTTACGAATGACTTTTACTTGATGCAATTGACTATGATGAAGGGTGGTAGATCACAGAACAATACATAATCTAACAATACATAACAAAAGAATAAGAAGCTATGACACAGGGTGGTGACGAAGGGATGTGGTTACGATGGGAAGTGGTGAGGAAGGGAAGTGGTGACGAAGGGAAGTGGTGATGAAGGGAAGTGGTGAGGAAGGGAGGTGGGGACGATGGGAAGTGGTGAGGAAGGGAAGTGGTGATGGAAGGGAAGTGGTGATGAAGGGGAGTGGTGAGGAAGGGAGGTGGTGACGATGGGAAGTGGTGAGGAAGGGAAGTGGTGAGGAAGGGAAGTGGTGACGGGAAGTGGTGACGAAGGGAAGTGGTGAGGAAGGGAAGTGGTGACGATGGAAGTGGTGACGAAGGGAGTGGTGAGGAAGGGAAGTGTGTGAGGAAGGGGAGTGGTGAGGAAGGGAGGTGGTGAGGAAGAAGTGGTGACGATGAGTGGTGGGAACGAAGGGAAGTGGTGCCGCAGTGGTGGTGGCGGGAAGTGGTGACGAAGGAAAGTTGTGAAGGGAAGTGGTGACGAAGGGAAGTGGTGACGATGGGACGTGGTGAGGAAGGGGAGTGGTGAGGAAGGGAGGTGGGGACGATGGGAAGTGGTGACGAAGGGAAGTGGTGAGGAAGGGAAGTGGTGATGGCGGGAAGTGGTGACGAAGGGAAGTGGTGAGGAAGGGAAGTGGTGAGGAAGGGAAGTGGTGATGGCGGGAAGTGGTGACGAAGGGAAGTGGTGAGGAAGGGAAGTGGTGACGATGGGAAGTGGTGAGGAAGGGAAGTGGTGAGGAAGGGAGTTGGTGAGGAAGGGAAGTGGTGAGGAAGGGAAGTGGTGATGAAGGGGAGTGGTGAGGATGGGAAGTGGTGAGGAAGGGAAGTGGTGACGAAGGGAAGTGGTGATGAAGGGGAGTGCTGAGGAAGGGAGGTGGTGACGATGGGAAGTGGTGAGGAAGGGAAGTGGTGAGGAAGGGAAGTGGTGATGGCGGGAAGTGGTGACGAAGGGAAGTGGTGAGGAAGGGAAGTGGTGACGATGGGAAGTGGTGACGAAGGGAAGTGGTGAGGAAGGGAAGTGGTGACGATGGGACGTGGTGAGGAAGGGAAGTGGTGATGAGGGGAAGTGGTGAGGAAGGGAAGTGGTGAGGAAGGGAAGTGGTGACGAAGGGAAGTGGTGAGGAAGGGAAGTGGTGACAAAGGGAAGTGGTGACGATGGGAAGTGGTGAGGCAGGAATGTAATGGCTGCATGCATGTTGCATGGGCTATGTTTTGTGGAGGAAGCCGGAGCACGAAACCTTGTGTTTTTCCGTGTAAAGTGGCTGCAGCCGGCGATGAAAGGTACCACGTGTGTGCGACGGGTGCGGCTGCGGTCGTTTGGTTCCTTCTATGTGTTTTGCAACAACGGTTGTTCCTGTGTGTAGTTCTATGCGTTTCTTGAAGCTGTGGTTGCGGATCGCATTGGAATGGGCTCATGAATGTTGCATGCTGTGTTTTGTGGTGAGGAAGCCGGAGCACGAAACCTTGTGTTTTTCCGTGTAAAGTGGCTGCAGCCGGCGATGAAAGGTACCTCGTGTGTGCGGCGGTTGCGGCTGCGGTCGTTTGGTTCCTTCTATGTGTTGTGCGTAGTTCTATGCGTTTCTTGAAGCTGTGGTTGCGGATCGCATTGGAATGGGTCCATGAATGTTGCATGCTGTGTGTTGTGGGGAGGAAGCCGGAGCACGAAACCTTGTGTTTTTCCGTGTAAAGTGGCTGCAGCCGGCGATGAAAGGTACCTCGTGTGTGCGGCGGTTGCGGCTGCGGTCGTTTGGTTCCTTGTATGTGTTTTGCAACAATGGTTGTTCCTGTGTGCGTAGTTCTATGCGTTTCTTGAAGCCGTGGCTGCAGATCGCATTGGAATGGCTGCGTCAAGGTTGCTTGATGCCGCCGCTGCATGCGTAATACTATCGTCTTTTGCAGCTGAAGATTGTTAATCGTATTGGAGTGGCGGCATCCAGGCTGCGATAGTGATTTGTCAGCAGATTTTCGCAATTTTCGCGCTAGTAATTTTCCTTTTAAAATTTCTTTTAAAAAGTGCTTCAAAATCGTCCTTTTTCTGCTTTGGCGTCGAGATCCGGTTTTGGAGCTGCAATTTCCAACACCGTTGCGGGTAGTTCTATTGTGTTTTGCAACTCAGTCTCTGCAGATCGCATTGGAATGGCTGCGTCAAGGTTGCTTGGTGCCGCGGCTGCATGCGTAATACTATTGTCTTTTGCAGCTGAAGATTGGTAATCGTATTGGAGTGGCGGCATCCAGGCTGCGATAGTGATTTGTCAGCAGATTTTCGCAATTTTGGCGCTAGTAATTTTCCTTTTAAAAGTTCTTTTAAAAAGTGCTTCAAAATCGTCTTTTTGTCGCTTTGGCGTCGAGATCCGGTTCTGGAGCTGCAATTTCCGAGACCGTTGCGCATAGTTCTATTGTGTTTTGCAAATCAGTCTCTGCAGATCGAATTGGAATGGCTGCGTTAAGGTTGCTTGGTCACAGTAGTACTGGGAAGTGTTTTGTGCAAGCTTTGTAGTACAATGTAGTACTGGGATGTAGTTTGTGCAAGCTTTGTAGTACACAGTAGTACTGGGAAGTGTTTTGTGCAAGCTTTGTAGTACAAAGTAGTACTGGGAAGTGTTTTGCGCAAGCTTTGTAGTACAAAGTAGTACTGGGAAGTGTTTTGTGCAAGCTTTGTAGTACAAAGTAGTACTGGGAAGTGCTTTGTGCAAGCTTTGTAGTACAAAGTAGTGCTGGGAAGTGTTTTGTGCAAGCTTTGTAGTACAAAGTAGTACTGGAACGTGTTTTGTGCAAGCTTTGTAGTACAAAATAGTACTGGGAAGTGTTTTGTGCAAGCTTTGTAGTACAAAGTAGTACTGGGAAGTGTTTGGTGCAAGCTTTGTAGTACAAAGTAGTACTGGAATGTGTTTTGTGCAAGTAGTACAAAGTAGTACTGGGAAGTAGTTTGTGCAAGCTTTGTAGTACAAAGTAGTACTGGGAAGTGCTTTGTGCAAGCTTTGTAGTACAAAGTAGTACTGGGAAGTGTTTTGTGCAAGCTTTGTAGTACAAAGTAGTACTGGAACGTGTTTTGTGCAAGCTTTGCAGTACAAAGTAGTACTGGGAAGTAGTTTGTGCAATCTTTTGTAGTAGACATCAGTACTGGGAAGTACTTGACATGAAAATAGCCAAGAAGAACTTAGCTGACATATGGGAAGACATGGAATGAGATGAGAAGGGCTCAGATGAGATGAGTTGAGATGAAGTGCAAGTGTGAAGTGTGGAGTGTGGGGTGTGAAAAGTGCAATGTGAAGTGTGAGGAAAGTGTTTGCATTGTACCGGGGGCGCGCGCAGGTCATGTTCTTGGACAGCAACACTGCAACAGCTT